ATAAATCATATATGCCCAGAAGTCTTATTTTTCTAAGTAGCAAGCTAGAAAGCAAATGGCAACCATAAGTCCTTTTGAGAACATTCCTTCTCCGCTTCCTTCTAGGGCAATTTTTTTTCCAGATAGTTAACTTTGGGAAATGATAACCAGATGTTTACTGCAGAACTTCTCAGATGTGTTCATTTGTTTGTAGGCATTGAAACACTACAAGGAAAGAATGTTTTCCTCAATTTATTTGAACTTCCAAGGAATTATATTTCACAGAACAGTATTTGGGAAATGGTGCTATAAGGCTGTGATTCTCAGTTGGAGATTTTGCCCCTTAGGGTACATCTGATAATATCTAAAGATGCATTTTGGTTGTCACTCTGGGGGTGAGGAATTGGGGGGAGGGGAGTGCTTCTGCCATCTCAGGAGCTAAACCCCTGATTTAAGCCAGTTGATTGCCCTCTCGTAGCATCATTAATTAAGTCATTATTTTCATAGTATGTACTTGATTAACAGAATAGGCTATATAGATAGTAATTGTGATCTTATGGAAATAAGCGAGGGAAAGCTGGAATTTAAAAAAAAAATAGGGCTATTTTTTAAATCAAAGTGGTAAAATCAAGAGGCTTTGAATTCTTAATGGAGGTTGACAAAGAAGTAACAAATTTAGAGAGTGCTGACCTCTTAGGTGAGAAGTCTTATAGTCTGTTGGCAGTGTGTGTTTTCTCCAACCTGATTTTGCTTGGCCTTATAAAAATAGGCTTTATAAGAGAGAAAGAAAGTTAATCTTTAGTTTTAAGGGAAAATACAAAAACAGCTTTCTTAAAGTAACAGCTGTCATTTGGTTTTTTTTACCCCTCCTTTGCTAAAAGTGACGTAGGACATTTTAAAGTTTTGTTTGTTTAGAATTTTGTGGTGTTCTCTGAGAATCTGGGACTACTGCTGTGGTGGCAGTATCAGGTTGGAAATTAAAGATTTAAGCTATTGTAAACCGTTTCTTTTTCTTTTTGTTTTTAGGTATAAAGTGGAATTTCTAAATAGCAGTTTAGTAACTATGGAAAGTATAATATAAATAAATTATACAGTATACATTTGGGTAAACTACTGAATATTAAACTGTTGAAACTATTTTATGAAAACTTATATGTCAGCGTAAAGTATGGTATAATGTGTTTATTTCTCTTAGTTTTAGTCAAGTCAGATAAAAGTTTTGAGAGATATAGGTATTTTGATTTTTCTGAAAATACTTAGCAAGCATTTAGTTAATGGTTGTATTCCAGAATCTTTTTGCAAGAAACTAAAGGAAGGAATTTGAAGCCTTTTAGCTATGTGAGGAAGGTTTTCTGCATATTGTAACTGGTATTTCCAAGTTGTAACACTAAATTGTTTAAACTTTAAAGTTGTCTACTTTAACTTCCGAGAATAATAATCATAACTTTTCAGCTTTCTGTGAAGTGGTATGTGTACAGCATAGTTCAAAGAATCTAGCACTTAGTAAATGATAGTTGAATCAATATTATTTGACACTAGTGTTCTAACAGAAAATAACTTATTAAAAATCAACTGAATAAGATTTTCAGTGCACTTAAGTGGTAGTAGTCTAATATTGAAAAATTAAAAGTATTCTTAAGTGTGTCCAAATAATGGAATTGAGAGAAAGATTATAATAAAGTACGCTAAGAGATGGCAAATCTATATTTTCTCTGATGAACTTAAGGATGGACTGCCAATGATCCACATAGATAACCATATCGGGTATGCAGAATCTGTTCTGGTGGGGTAAATTGAGTTATTTGGAAGTGATGATCTGCTTGGATGTCTCAAACGTACCTCAGTCTTAGCATGTCCAAATTAGCACTTGTGATGGTCCATCCTCAAACCTGTCCTTCTTACAGTGTTTTCTGGCTCATTAAATGACACCACTCATGGGGCACCTGGGTGGCATAGTTAGGTCGTGATCTTGCAGTTTGTGAGTTCAAGCCCCACGTTAGGTTCTGTGCTGACAGCTCAGAGCCTGGAGCTTGCCTTGGATTCTGTGTCTCCCTCTCTCTCTCCGCCCCTTCCCTGCTGCATTCTGTTTCTCTCTCTCAAAAATAAATAAACATTAAAAAAATTTTTTTAATGGCACCACTCTCTACTATCTTATGCAAATGAGAAACCTAGACATTAATCTTGATACTTGCTTCTTCAGAGCTCTTACCTATTTCAGCACTGCTCAGTACAAACGTTAGCCACATGCATAAATGTTTTAGTAGTTACATTAAAAAGAATGGGTGAAATTAATTTTATTTCATTTAATTCTATATATCCAGAGTCTTATTTCTGTGTTTTAAAATCAGTGAGATATTTTATATTCCTTTTTAAATTCCTTTTTAAATATTAAATCTTCAAAGTCCAGAGTATTATTTCACATGTAAAATAAGTACATTTCTAATCATGCCAGCTATATTTCACGGCTTAATTGCCATATGTGACTGGTGGCTACAATATTGGACAGTGAAGATACTGTCTTAGCACCAACTCCTTTGAGTGTTACCTCTTAAATATCTCTTAATTCCTTCTCCTCCTGTGTCAGCTGCCATCACCCTGATATAGATTACTAATAACTCCTAGCCATCCTCCCAACAGGTCACACTGTGGCCAAAATGATCTGTGCCAAATCTCCTTTACTTCCACCCCCATCATCATTTAATCTTTCTTTTCTTTTTTTTTTAATATTTTTATTTATTTGTAGGAGAGAGAGAGAGACAGCATGAGCAGGGGAGGGTCAGAGAGAGAGACACAGACTCCGAAATAGGCTCCAGGCTCTGAGCTGGCAGTCAGCACAGAGCCCGACGCGGGGCTCGAACCCACGAACCGCGAAATCATGACCTAAGCGAAAGTCGGACGCTTAACCGACTAAGCCACCCAGGCGCCCCTCATTTAATCTTTCTTGAAATCTCATCACTTCCTTGGGTAAGCCTTTCCTGATTCTCCTCCTCTTAGATTGCTTCTGTTATCTATCCTTTTTTTTTTTTAAGTGTACTCATTAATTTTGAGAGAGACAAGAGACAGTGCTAGCAGAGGAAAGGTGGGGGTGGGGGTTCTGCCGAAACCACATTTTCCCCCCTTACTATATCCCTCTAACAAGAGTGCCAGACATAATTACTCAACCAGAATGTGTTAAATTAACTAAATGAATTTAACGGTTTGCCCCCGTGAAGATACAGTAGTCCCCAATATAACAGTGTATTGTTCAACTCTTGAAAAGCAGTTTTCTGGGGGGTGCCTGGCTGGCTCAGTGGGTTAATAGGCATATGGCTTTGGCTCAGGTCATGATCTCAACAGTTTATGGGTTTGAGCCCCGCATTGGGCTCTGTGCTGACAGCTCGTATCCTGGAGCCTGTTTTGGGTTCTGTATCTCCCTCTCTCTCTGCCCCTCCCTGCTTATGCTCTGTCTCTCAAAAATAAATGTTAAAACAACAACAAAAACAAAAAACAACACTGTCCTGGGATCTTTTCCTCTTTTTTTTTTTTTTTTTGGTCTTATTTATGAGCATGAAATGTTCTCCCCATTATTCAGATGACTTTACTGAATTCCCTTTACCTACTGAAATAAATTTCAAATTTATAATCTATGATTTGAGGTCCTGTATAATCTGACCCTGAAAGTATCTATCAAAATGTCAAATGAAACTGCCAAGTTGTATTCCCCCTGCTCTCTAAATAAGCATTACCCTTAGGAACTATTGTCTATTCATTCAATAAGTATCTTTAGTATATTGCCAGATAATGATCTAAGCCAATACTATACAATAGAACTTTGTATTCTGTATATCTCTTTTGTTCTGTGTGTATTGTGTTTTCTGTATACCCGCTGGCCACTTACACATGTTAAGCCCTTGAAAGTTTACTGTTGAGCACTCGAAATGTGAATAATGTCGAGGAACTGAATTTTTTATTTTGGTTAAATTTTACTAACTACAGACGGCTAGTGGTTGCCATATTGGATAATGTAGATCAAGGGAATGGGGCATGCATTATCTGCCGTCATAGAGTTTATGCCCTGGTGTGAAGATATAGTCGGTAAATAAATTGTATCAGATGGTGATACATTATGCAGGAAAATAAAATTGGGTAAACAGTAGGAGATGTGTATGTTGGGGAGGAGCAGAAAATGTTATTTATAGAAGATAGAAAAGGTGTTGAATAAGCTGATGTTTGAGCAGAGACTTGAACAACATGAGAATGAGTGCAAACCATATGGATGTATTTAAAAGGGTTCTAGAAATAGGGAACTGCATGTACAAAGGCCCTGAGGAAGAAGTGTGCTTGCCTTATTCTAGAACTAACAAGGAGACTGGTGTGCCTAGATTGAATTTACAGGGTAGAGCAGCCAAAGACCAGACCAGAAAAGACTTTATTGGCTGTTGGTTGAATGTAGTTACAACTAAAATCGTAGAAACACTTTCTTAAATTATAACATGAAATGATATTTTGATGAAAATCTTGCTCTACACTTGCCTTAGAATTATATCTAAATGCAGAAAAATAGCAGTGATAGCGTTCCAAGCATTTATCTATATTCACTCATTAAATCTTCACACTACCCTGTGAGTAGGTATTATTATCATCATTATCTTCCAGATGGGAAGTGGAGACAGATAATGGTTAGGTAATTTCTACAAGGTAATTGAGCCTGGATTTAAATCCATGCAACCTGGCCTTACTGAACACAGTTAATTTTTTTAGTAGGTCATAACCAATAGAATTTGAAAAATAATTTTGGGGGCCAACATAGCATTATTGCCAGATATTAGCAACATTTATTCTAAAAATTCTAACATTCTGACCACTGTTCCATTACTTACAAAACAAAAATATGCAAATTTCTGGTGTTCATTAACCTATTTTTAGAATATACATGGTTATGCTAATCCATTTAACTCATTTTTTCATAAGGAGAAGCAGAATAAAGGCATAGTAATGTAAACATACTATGAAAATAAACTTTGTGTTTTTCTCCTGTTTAGGGCCTGTATATCTTTGGGATCAAGAACTCGAGCTATTGGAAATGCAGCTAAGAGCCAGGTAAATTGTTAATGTAGGTGTTTTGACTTACAGGAAGAATTAATGGAATCTTGGTAATTAAGCTCTGATTTTATGTAGTTAAGAGTGAAAAAAGAGGAAGGGAAATTGGACAGACCCTAATGTCTTGGTATTTTAGTAGATCTAGTTTGCTTTGGAGGTTGCAAAATATTTCTTAAATTTTATTTTTTTAAAAAAAGCCTTTTTATAATTGTGAAGTTAGGGTATTGCTACCATATGACACCACTTTTTCCCTGTATAGTCACTTTTCTATGAGGTATCCTATCTATTATATAATCTTCAATAAGTAAGTGATGTCTTATTGAGAAAAGAAGGTAGTAAAGATGAAGAACTAATTTCTAGAGTAACCCAGTGTAGCTACTGTACATGGAATCAATTTAAGTATCCATATTTCTAGGCTTCTGAAGTGTTTATAAGTAGACCATTTACTTTTATTTATTTATTTATTTTTTAATTTTTTAATGTTTAGTTTTGAGAGAGATATAGAGCGTGAGTTGGGGAAGGGCAGAGAGAGAGGGAGACACAGAATCCAAAGCAGGCTCCAGGCTCTGACCTGTCAGCACAGAGCCAGACTTGGGGCTCGTGAGATCATGACCTGAGCCCAAGTCAGATACTTAACTGACTGAGCCACCCGGGCGCCCCGAACATTTACTTTTAATATTCCTTATTATGGGTTCATTCTCCTTGGATTTTATTTCCCTGAACCAAAAGCCCTTAACAATTACTTCTTAACATTTTCATGTATACCTGAGTCATTTTTTCCCTCATAAAATAACTTTGTTTAATGGGACTTTTTTGGGGGGTAAGGGAGAGAGGAAGGGGGGTGATGGGCATGGAGGAGGGCACTTATTGGGATGAGTACTGGGTGTTATATGGAAAGCAACTTGACAATAAACTGTTTTTTTTTAAATGGGACTTTTTTCTTCATGACATTGTAGGAGTAATTAACTCATTTATCTAGAAATTTCTGCTTAAGATTTTTGTCAAAGTTGTCTTCTAATTGACCTGTATATGAAAATGTTTATCTTCTCTTCTACTTTCATACTGTCTATAAACAAATGTTAAGTTTGTGTCAAAATGACTTCTTCACTAAAATTTACATTTTATATTCTGTTTGATTTTCTAAGTGTATGAGTGATATCAGAGTCTCTGAAGAAAGCAAACTAATGTTATTCCTATAAAGAGTCCGAGGTGTTAATTGAGCATCCCCATAGCATTTATCTGGTAATTGGCTTTAACTAAGAGGACAACAACTGGATCTCAGTAATGTTTTATAGTTTGAACTACATGTTCTAGTTAAGAACAAATTACTCCCCTAAAATATAAGCCATTTACAAATTAATACACTTTAATTTAGCATCATGCCTCCATAGAAGGAGTTTAAATTTATTAGCCTAGGAGTAATTCTCAACAATGAGGAATTTCACAAAGAACTAGATAATGAGAAGAAAAGAAAAATGGTGCAATAAGGGAGATAGTTTCAATAAAAACACAGTAAGGAAAGTAGAAGGAAGAGAAATCAAAAGTACTAATTCACAATAGCAAAAGTGTTGAGGAAAACCAAAGACATGAGTTATAGATTGATTTTCACTGTATGATTTGAAAAGCTTTACACTTTCGTTCTTTCTTTTTTGAAGATATTACTTTTGGGCCTACATTCATAGGATAGGATAATTTGAGGGCCAATAGTCAAGATGCATACGTTCTTAAAAATTTTTTTTAATTTTATTTTTGGGAGAGAGAGCATGAGCAGGGGATAGGGGCAGAGGGAGAGACAATCTTAAGGAACCCAGTGCAGGGCTCAATTGCACAACCCTAGGATCATAACCTGAACCAAAATCAAGAGAGTCAGACGCTCATTCAACTGAGCCATCCAGGCACCAGTAAGGTGCATACATTCTTATTGTATAATTTTACTAATAGCTGTAAGCCAGATAAATGAATGATTTTGTGTAATTCTAAACTTAAATGTGTAGAATTGGTGGTTTTAAAGTATAGCATAATGTTTATTTTGCATTCATTAAGTAATTGATAAATAAAAGCGTTTACTTTTGACAGATAGTCACGAATGTAAGAAATACAATTCATGGCTTCAAGAAGCTTCATGGGAGATCATTTGATGATCCCATTGTGCAGACTGAAAGGATCAGGCTTCCTTATGAGCTGCAGAAGATGCCTAATGGAAGTGCAGGAGTTAAGGTAAGCTTTATATTCCCAGAGTACAAACATATTTAAATTCAATAAAACAAATAAAATATTTCCTATTTATAATTTAACTCTTTTTCTCTGAATGCAGTACATATGTACCTTTCTAGTTAAGAAAAAATCACTTTCCTAAAATATAGGCCATTTACAAAGTAAGACACTTTCATTTAGACAGTTTTTGTAGAAAGCTTTAGTGAGTGCAAGAAATTCTAATTAGATAATCTTTCAAATCCAAATAATACTTTTATTGTCGAGGAAAAATGATTATTATTTGGAGAACTTTTAGAAGTGAACTGTTTTCAGTTTCAAGCAATAAAGGCAGAGGCATAAGTGATTTAGAAAACTAGACCCCGACACTATGTTAATTGTTATATTAAAGCAAACTTTTTCAACGTAAGAGATGGATTCTTAGTTTTTAATTCTACATCCCAAGACAGTAAGTTACAGATTGGTTAACAAAAACATGTTTCTGTTGATTTTTCAAAAACTAACACAATACCTCAAAACACATAGAGTTACCATGTGACCCAGCTTTCTCACTTTTAAGTGTATACACCAGTAAATTGAATGATATGTGCACACAACAATTTGTACATGATTATTTACAATAACATTCATAGTAGCCAAAAATCAGGAACAATCCAAGTGTTTAGCAGCTGTTGAGTGGATAAAGAAAATCTAGTACCTATACAGTGGAATATTATTTAGACAGTTTTTCCTCTGTAACTGTAGTTATTGTATGGATTCCAAGGTAACTTTATATTGCTTATAAGTGTATTCATTATTATTATTAAAGGGCTTGATTATTTAAAGCACACAGCTTCTAGTATTCTTTTGTTAAGCACTGTAAAGTTTTCTTAAGTTTATTTCTTTTGAGAGAGAGAGAGAAATCCCAAGCAGGCTCCACACTCTCAGTGCAGAGTCCAGCATGGGGCTCAAACTCAACAAACTGTGAGATCATGACCTGAGCCAAAATCAAGAGTCAGATGCTCAACCGACTGAGCTACCCAGGCCTCCCTCTTTTATTTATTTATTTATTTATTTATTTATTTATTTATTTAAATAAGGAATTTTTCTTTTTCCTTCCTTTACCTAAAATTCTATGACTAAAGCTTTCATTTTAAACCCAGGAAGAGTTCTGACTTTCAAAAGAAAGATTACTTGATCTTTTTGTTATTCATTATGTGCTTGGAAAGTGAATGATAAAAATTGCTTTTGTGAGAGGTGGGGATCTAATGCAGAAAGACATTTTTGGAAACAATTTGGTTAATATTAATCTGTGTAAGGCACTTGAACTTTAGAAATGAGAGGTTGTAATATTAGAATAATCTTTTCAGAATATAACTTCCTTGGGCAAAGACTGCCTTTTTTCACTTTTGTCTATCCATCATGTATAGAGTAGATGATTACAAAATACATGTTAGATGAATAAATGACTTAATAAATATCTCAACTTGTGGTTTTAGGTGCGTTACCTAGAAGAAGAGAGACCTTTTGCAATTGAGCAAGTCACTGGAATGCTGTTGGCCAAACTTAAAGAGACTTCAGAAAATGCTTTGAAGAAACCAGTGGCCGACTGTGTGATATCAGTAAGTTTTACTTCAATAGTGAATACTTTTAAATCCTCCTTTCTAGTATATTAATACTTTCTTCCTTTTCTTTTCTTCCTTTTTCTTTACTCTTTCTGATCTTAATTAGTAAATCCATTTTTATTTTTACATTAAAAAAAGCCCACCTTATTTGGTAAAGTTTAGGATTGAGTTTCCTATAAAGTCCATTGTGATAATTAGTGAATCTTAAAGAAAAACCTATGTATGTGATTAGTGACTGCTGTACCTGTCCTATTTATCCCTAAGAATATTTCCTGGTCGCCGTAAACTTCTCACCTGTAGGGACCTTAATATTTTATGGCAAAGTTGAAAATTCCCAGCTAGGTATTTGAGATAGTATATGTTATGTATCAGAAAGAAAAACTCTTTTAAAACGATTGGATATATTTAACATTATTATACTTTAAGAAATTTTGACATGCTTACACAAAACCATCATGTTATTAGTATGATAAACATTTATCACTCCCCAGAATTCCTTTGTGCGTTTCTTAAAAGGACAATTGTTTACAAATGAGGTGTGCAACATGATGCTTTGACACACATATACATGGTGAAGTGATAATAATTACTGCAGTTGAACTAATTAACATACTCATCTCCCCAGTAGCTAGGTTTAATTTGTTTTGTTTTTGTTTTTTGGTGGCAAGAACACCTGAGATCTACTTTCTTAACAAATTTCCAGTACATAGTAACAGTATTACTAACTTTAGACACTATGTGCTTGCTGTACATTAGATTTCTAGAATTTATTCATCCTACATAACTGAAACTTTGTATTCTTTGGCCAGTATCTATCTCCACATTTCCTCCACCTCTTTGCTCCTAACCACCACTCTACTCTCTACTTCTGTAAATTTAGCTTTTATAGATTCCACATATAAGTGAGATCATACAGTATTTTTCAGAAAGATCTTTTTTTAAGGATTCTTAAAACATTTCATCATTTACTCTATCTCATGAGATCCTATTATATATTGATAACTTTTTAAATTTACCTGTCATCACCTAAATGTGAATGTATTTCTAATACTATTTTAACCTTCTACAAAAGTTCTAGAGTCTAGGGGCGCCTCAGTGGCTCCGTCAGTTGAGTGTCTGACTTTGGCTCAGGTCATGATCTCATGGTTCGTGGGTTCAAGCCCTGTATTGCTTGAACCCTGCTCCCCCACTCACACCTTGTCTCTCTCTGAAAAATAAAGATTAAAAAAATATTTTTTAAAGTTTAAGAATCACGTGTCATCAGGATAAAAGAACCAGATTATGAACTCTTCAGTGAATTTAGTAATGGGATTTTTTATAGGTATTTAGAATTTTTTTGAGAGAAAAATAATGGAGCTTAGTATTTTGTTTTCCAGACATTTAGTAATAGCAAATAATAGTTTACCATTGGTCAGGCATTGTTACAGGCATTTAATATGTATTAACTCATCTAATCCTCAGAACCACCCTGTAAGGGTAGGATTTAAAAAAAATTTTTTTAAATGTTTATTTTTGAGAGAGACAGAGCATGAGCAGGGAAGGAGCAGAGAGAGAGGGAGACACGGAATCTGAAGCAGGCTCCAGGCTCTGAGCTGCCAGTACAGAGCCCCATGTCAGGCTCAAACTATGAACCATGAGCTTATGACCTGAGCCGAGGTCAGATACTTAACCGACTGAGCAACCCAGGTGCCCTGAAGATGGGACATTTTTAACTCTAGTTGTACAGATAAAAAAACTGCTACACAGAGAAGTTAAATAACTTGCCCCAAATCAACAGAGCTAATACGTGGTAGAGCCAGAATTCAGACCCAGGTAGTTTATTCCCAAGCATCTGCTTATAACTCTTCCATTACACTGCTATTTGAAAGTATACATCAAAGTGGTATCAGTTTTAAAATCCATCTTAAATTCAAATCTATCCCTGTTAACTATACGCGATAATATTTTCACATCAGAAATCAGTGTCAGAGGAGAGCATTATGAACAACTTCTTAGCCGCTATTTACTTTGTAGTTAATGCAGTAGACCCATTGTGAACTACACAAGGGAAGTATTTTCTCTGTTTTATGCACTGCAGTGTCTCTAAGTGGCTAGAAAAGTACATAAGCGCTCCATGAGTATTAAATGAAGCCTGTATTACAATTTAGATTTTTGTCAGAAGGATAATACCAAAATTAGGATAAACAAGTTTATTGAAATTCAAGTTCTTTTCCTGTTGTTAATAGGAGTTAAATGAAATTTCTAACATCATAATGCAATAAAATTGGAGGAGACAATTTACTTATAATTGGAAGAACTCCAAGTCATTTTGTACATGAGTATACTTAATTAGCTTCTTAGAAATCTGTAGAAACAAATCAAAGTGCTTCTTTTTTGATAGAACTATGTAAATCTTTTTCTTTTTTAATGTTTACTTATTTATTTTGAGAGACACAGAGCAAGCAGAGGAGGGGAAGCAAGAGAGGGAGAGAGAGAATCCCAAGCAGGCTCTAAGGTGTCATCACAAAGCTTGAACTAACGAAGCAGGAGATCATGAGCCAAAATCAAGAGTCAGACGCTTAACCAACTGAGCCAACCAGAAACCCCTAGAACTATGTAAATCTTAACTATAAATTTAAGTCTCAGTTTATTTTTAATAGAAATACATTTAGTGTTTTTTCTGATTTTAAAAGAAATCTATGTTCCTTGTAAGTCCCTTGTGGTATTGTTTCCCTCTCCTTTTGAGATCATAGCCATTGTAAACTGAGTAATCTATACCTACACAAAAATCATGTTACACATGTCCTTTTTTCTCATGTAGTATAGATAGTGTTCCATGACAATTCATATCTGCCTGATTCTAACAGCTATGTAAGATTCCATTATATGGATTTACCGTGATGTATTTAACCAATCTCGTTTTAATAGTCTTGGGTTTTCAGTCTTTCATTGTTAAAGATGAACCAACATATTTTTTTTCAAAGAGCAGACCAACACAAGAAGGATTTAGAGGAACATATTTTGGAAAGCCTGCATTATTCCTATCATCTTAATTAACTGCTTTACATTTGTGTTCATAGTTTAGATCAACACTTAATAGTATAGACATTGTCAAACTTAAAAAAGAAAGAAAGTAGGTTTTTTTCCTTGTTCAATTAGAACACCATTCTTTGCTTTAAGCTGTACATGAGTTTTAGAGCAGTTACATTTTTAATTGATGAAATGTTTAAAATCTGTTACATCAAACTAATATATTAGTGTTTTAAAATACCAGATTCCTAGCTTTTTCACTGATGCTGAGAGAAGATCTGTGATGGCTGCAGCCCAGGTTGCAGGTTTAAATTGTTTAAGGTTGATGAATGAAACTACTGCAGGTGAGCACTTTGGAATTTACTTATCAGAATTTATTTGGAATTTATTTATCAGAAAAATACTGTTCTAATTTTTTCTTTTAACTCTGTTATGTGCTAGTTCCTGTAACCTTTTGTTTAGGAGTATAACATTTTGGCAGAAGTTAAACATGTCTTTATATATGCAATAAGAAGCATTTATGTTATAGAGTTACAGGTAGAAAAGAAATAAAAATCAAATTATGAAAAGTTAATTTACTTTGAAATTAATAATTTATATTATTCTGTGTGTTAAAGTGCATTATCAAAGTGACTTATCTCTTTTTTCCCAAGTGATTGCTATCTTGATATTAACTTAATTTCTTTGTTCTTACATAGTTGCGCTAGCATATGGAATTTATAAACAGGATCTTCCGCCATTAGATGAGAAACCAAGAAATGTAATATTTATTGATATGGGACATTCTGCCTACCAGGTCTCAGTTTGTGCTTTTAACAAAGGAAAACTTAAAGTAAGTAAATAAATGATTTGCTGTATATAAGTTTAATGGTTAGGAGCATGTAAGACTATATAGAGAACCTTAATGCGTGGGGTTTAAATCCTGGCTCTGCCACCTAAAAACTGACCTTGAGCAAGTTACTAACCTTAAATCTCAGCCTCTGCACCTAGGATAATACCACTAATTACCTCACAATTTTTGAGGACAAATGAGTTAATGTATAAAAAATGCTTAGAATGCCATTTAGTAGATCCTGTAATATGTATTGGCTATTTTTATTGTCAAGGTGTTAAGTCAGCTGTCAGGGAACATTAACTACACCCTATCCATAAATGTACTGAGGAAACATTTTCTAAAATGATTCTCTTTGTTTTTATAAACCTTCCTATCCAGGAGTTCTAGTCATAAGTTTCTGTAGTGTGGCATTGTTTACTTCTAGTGCTTATCATTTTATGGTTGGTATTTATTTATTTTTTTAAATGTTTATTTTTTGAGAGATAATGTGCACACACACAAGCGGGGAAGGGTCAGAGAGAGAGAGAGACAGAGGATCCTAAGTGAGCTCTACACTGACAGCAGAGAGAGCCCCATGTGGGCTTGAACTTACTAACTCTGAGATCATGACCTGAGCTGAAGTTGGATGCTAAACCAACAGAGCCACCCAGGCACCCATGTATTTCATTTTATATTCATTTTTATATTGATTATCTTATCCATATTTATGTTCTCTCTGTCTCTCCATTATTCACATGTGTAGAATTTATTTAGAAGATGAACTGCTTTGGGTGATCCACCACCTTTTAGAGCCTTTTGTCACACAGTTTGTAGTAACATCCTTGTAATCAGAAAACTCAAGGGAAATGAGTCTTAATGAATATAGGGTAGTTTTCTGTAAATTAGCTTAATCTTTAGCATTTAGTCTTGAATTTTAATTTAAGAACATTCACTTTCCTTTTTGGTGGATACCTTAGAGTATCCCTTCTGTCCAGGAGAATTCAGATTGGCACTAATCACATACCAACACAGTTTTGGGTTTGATTCAGGGTAGTACTAGACCTAGTGAGAAGTCTATCCATGGATTCCCTATGCTAGTCTGTGGGATAACCTCTCAGTCAGATTACACTTAAACCTTCTATAGGGCTTACTGTTGTTCTACCACATATCCTTATGAGAAAAACCTGATGAACCACACCAGCAGTGGGGTTCCTTTTTTTTTTTTTTTTTTTTTTTAAAAACAGTGATTACTGTAAATAAGCATTTTTGCCCTGTATCCTCAGGAGAGCAACTAGATGTCTTGCTCCTGTGTTTTCAGTAGCTATAATGCTGAAGTTCTGTGACTTGTCTGCTCTTCTTTCATCTATCTATTTTATGTTATGTTATATTATTATATCAAATTCTTGTCTCTCCTCTTTTTTTCTGTTGTATATTTTTGGTTTTTCATGTATTCTTTTGTTCCTTATATATTTTTATAAAAATGGCTGGGCTTTTTTTTTTTTTTTATAAATAGTAGTCAGAAAGCCTAATTCCCGACCTATAAATTACCAGTTGTAGTATTTTAGATTTAATCTTTTTTTTTTTTTTTTTTTTTTAAGATTTATTTTTAAGTAGGGGCGCCTGGGTGGCTCAGTTGGTTGAGCGTCTGACTTCAACTCAGGCCATGATCTCACGGTTTGTGGGTTCAAGCCCTGCGTTGGGCTCTGTGTTGGCAGCTAGCTCAGAGCCTGGAGCCTATTTCGGATTCTGTGTCTCCCTCTCTCTCTGGCTCTCCCCTGCTCACACTGTCTCTCTGTCTCAGAAATAAATTTAAAAAAAATTTTTTTAATTAAAAAAAAGGAGGGGCGCCTGGGTGGCTTAGTCGGTTAAGCATCCGACTTTCGCTTAGGTCATGATCTCGCGGTTTGTGGGTTCAAGCCCCGTGTCGGGCTCTGTGCTGACTGCCAGCTCAGAGCCTGGAGCCTGTTTCAGAGTCTGTACCTCCCTCTCTCCCTGGCCCTCCCCTGCTCATGCTGTCTCTCTGTCTCTCTCCTAGAAATAAATAAAACATTAAAAAAAAATTTTAAAAAAATAAATAAAAAAAAAAGGAGTAAAAAAAAAAGATTTATTTTTAAGTAATCTCTACACTCAGTTTGGGGCTTCAACTCACAGCTCTAAGATCAGGAGCCAGGCACCCCTAGATTGAATCTTTGGATTGCCTTTTCTTGGCTGTTTTGTTATGGTTACATGCTTAGGACTATTTGCTGTCTTAAACTTAGTTTTTGGCTACCTGTTCAGTGCCATTGTAGAACCAACAGATGTGAGATAATTAAATTTTAATTGTAATAACTCAATTATTTGAGAAATAAAATTAATTATAATTATAATTATGATATATGCAACTACAAACCAAAGCAGATAATTCAGAGTGAGTGAGTATGCTGGCTAAATATAAGTGATGATTACTGTAAGTGATAGCAAGTTTTGACAGCTTTGTGATTTTTGACAAGTTCTTCGGCTTTGATTTTACTTTAATTTTAAAAGGTGTTTTCTTTTTGGTTTTTGTCTTTTTGAAAGCATATATATTTCTGAAAATTCATTTCTGGTGTTTTGATTAAACAGGTCTTGGCTACCACCTTTGATCCATATTTGGGTGGCAGGAACTTTGATGAGGCTTTAGTAGACTACTTCTGTGAGGAGTTCAAGACCAAATATAAGATAAATGTGAAAGAAAATTCTCGGGCCTTACTGCGCTTATATCAGGAATGTGAAAAACTGAAGAAGCTAATGAGTGCAAATGCATCAGATCTTCCACTGAACATCGAGTGTTTCATGAATGACCTTGATGTTTCTAGTAAAATGAACAGGTATGAACAGGTAGCATGTATGTTTTCAAAGTGTTGGCATGTTATTGTATGTTTAGATCATGTCTGATTTTTTTTTCATTCTGTTATGTTAGAAGATACACTTGAGTTTTATATCCCAAAATGATGAATTTTATTTCATTTCCCCCCCCAGGGCTCAGTTTGAACAATTATGTGCTTCCCTCTTCACCAGGGTTGAGCCACCATTAAAAGCAGTAATGGAACAAGCTAGTAAGTGTAAATTACTAGACTAACCATCAAAATTGTATAATGGTGTTAACTCATTTTAATAGGGTAGGACATGGTAAAAGCAATTAAAACTTCATTTGTTTTTTGAAGATTTGTATTTCTGATTTTAGAGAGGGAGATTGTAACTTCCTCAGAGTAATGGCACTGTGAATTTGGGCTTATGAGAGCAATTCCTGGTTTATGTTCTTGTTTGCATTGTAAGTCTGATACTAGTTATATTTGGCGGTGTTTACATGTAAGCATATAGTGAAGTCTAAGATGAAAATAAAATGTGGAAAGGGGACATGATTGCTTTTTGTTAAGGTTTTTGTACCTTCTGTGGGCATTTGTGAGGTGGCAGGTAGAAAGTTGAAGAGCCCATGAGGTAGTTGTCTGTTCTTAATGTCACTCTGTCATCTGGACCAAGTGCAGTGCCTGACGCATAGATAATTAGTATTTATTAAGCTTTACCTTTTTCCAAAATTTGTTTTTATCTTCTTTCCTTTTAGTCTTGTTTAGAGCAAATAAGACACCCACTTTTTAAAAAAGTACTTTCCAAGGCCTTTTGTTCATATTTTTATAAAGACTGTCTTATTCTTACCAATTAAATACATTTTGTTTTCCAGACTTGCAACGTGAAGACATAAGTAGTATAGAAATTGTAGGGGGAGCAACACGAATTCCTGCAGTGAAAGAACAAATCACTAAGTTCTTTCTTAAAGACATAAGTACCACATTAAATGCTGATGAAGCTGTTGCAAGAGGATGTGCATTACAGGTATGATTAGTAATCCTTTTTGTTTAGAATGTATATTTTGCCAGAAATGTGGTAATAGGCCTAAGGGGACCTTTTATCTGTTCCAACCATTTGTCAGACAAAGAATAAATTGAAATTATTTCTGATAAATAAGTCTTGTGTCTTTCCAATTTATGTTTTTAAGCTGTTCTAGGGCAATATGCCTGTAGTGCAAAAAAGTGTACTGTAGTGCAAAGCCATTTACTTTATGAATTCTTGTAATTATTCCCATTTAAAATTCTTTTTTGAGATTTAAAAACATTTTATATTTCTGTAAGGTCATAAACCCTGACAGTTGTAAATTTTAATTAGCTGTTACGAAAAGACAATTTTTAAAACATAACTTTATTACAAGGACTCTATTAAGCAATTCAATCAGGGTAGCCTACAGTATGTTTTGTGTTTGTTGATTTAAATATGGTATACATCTTATTTTCAGTGTGCGATTCTCTCACCAGCATTTAAAGTGCGTGAATTTTCTATAACAGACCTTGTTCCCTATTCAATCACATTAAGATGGAAGACCTCTTTTGAAGATGGAACTGGGTAAGTTACTTTTAAAGCCTTGGTTAGAGCTTGTTGTAAATAAATAACCAATTGAACCTAGTTTCCTAAACTAGAGGAATTTACACTTTTAATACTCTCAAGTACCTTTTTTTTTTTTTTTTTAATGTTTTTTATTTATTTGTGAGAGAGAGAGAGACAACGTGAGCAGGGAGGGTCAGAGAGAGAAGGAGACACAGAATCTGAAACCGGCTCCAGGCTCTGAACTAGCTGTCAGCACAGAGCCTGATGCAGGGCTCAAACTCACAAACCGTGAGATCATGACCTGAGCTGAAGTCAGATGCTTAACTGACTGAGCTACCCAGGTGCCTGTCTGAAATACTTTTAAATAAAATGTTAGAAGAAAGGAACTATATAAAACACTATATAATCTATAAACTATCATGGCATATTTTTAATTAGTATTTTATTATAAAGTAAATTTTCTTTCAAATAAAAATCACAGTATGGAACTATAAAAATTTAAAAACCTGCATCTGCTGTACCCCAACTGCTACTCAGCACATTTTACAGAGGTAACTTGTTAATAGCTAGGCTTCTATGTTTCTAGTCATTTTCTTTGACTATCCAAAAATAAAAGCATATACTTGGTTAATACATACATGATCATCTCTATGTCTCTAGTGAAACTTGCTTTTTAAAATATGTTACTTATTACTTTTCCATGTCAACAGTGACTATTTTCTCAGCAATTGTGTGTGCCATAATTTAACTTGTACACGTCTTCTTGTTTAGTTGTGTTTGGTATATCTGTAAGATAACTGTATAAGACTAAAATTGACCCAAAGGATATGAACATTATTTTAATTAGTACTGCCACATTTTCCACTAAAAGGATTATACTAATTTATATTCCTTTTAACATTGCTGGGATTGTCTGTTACAGCATTTTTCCTCCTATACTTTTAAACATAAAATCCTGAAAGTGAAAATAAGTACTTTGTTATTAGATATGTATTTCTGACTATTGTGAGCCACAATCTTTTCATGCTTTTACCGAAATTTATGTTTCATTTTCCATGAAGTGGCCAGGATTTAAATAATTTATTTTACCAAAATAAAAATTTGTGTTTCAAATAATATATTTGACTACTATTCAAACATATAATTTATACAATAAAATAAACCTGTATTTAGATTTTGAAGTTGCTTTTAAACTTTTGTACTGTGATATATATATTCCCACCCCTAAGAAACTAAAAATTTTGCACAAATTGTAAAAATACAAATTATGAATTTGATCGGAAATGTTTTGCAGAGCATTTAAATGGCATGTATTAATGTCAATTTTGAGGCAAGAAATGCTGTTCCTTAAAGTTAGTTTCAGGGGTGCCTGACTGGCACAGTCAGAGCATGAGACTCTGCATTTTGAGGTTGTGAGATTGAACTCCATGTTGAGTGTAGAGATTACTTAAATCAATAAATTCTTAAAGTTAATCTCAGTTAAGATACAGTGATCCAGAAAAAAATTATGTAAGAAACTTATAGAAGAGTTGAAATGAAAAATAAACCTATCTTAGTGATAGGATATAAAAGCAGAGGTGCCTGGGTGGCTCAGTTGGTTAAGCATCTGACTTCAGCTCCGATCATGATCTCCCCATTCGTGGATTTGAGCCCTGTGTTGGGCTCTGTGCTGACAGATCAGAGCCTGGAACCTGCTTTGGATTCTGTGTCTCCTTCTCCTCCCCTGCTTGTGCTCTAAGGAAACAAGCAAACAACAACAAAAAAACTTTTAAAAAAAGTAAAAGATAGTGTAGGTCCTTAAAAACTAGAATAGAGGGAAAGGTCCATGAGTGTGGAATTTTCAAACCTTATAGTGATGATATAGTATTATAGAGTGAGTTTCTGTTATACTGTTTAAGGAATAGGAGTTGTCACGTAGGTGTTAAAACTTCCTCTAACAGAGAGGAGGAAATACTATAAAGGACATTATTATATCTGTAAAAATTGGAATATGGATTGTATTAAAATATCAGTGTTAATTTATAAAGTTGACAGCTGTACTGTCATTATTTGTTAGAGCATATCTCTATTAGGAAATACACATTAAAGTATTTATGCGTAAAGAGCCATAATGTATGTTAATATCCTCCATTGGTTCAGAAAAAAATACACATGCCCAGAGTGTGTTGAAGAAACAAATGGAATAAAATGCTGACAGCAGTAAATCTAGGTAAAAGATATATACAGGTGTCCTTTGGTCCTTGTCCCGTTTTTTGTTTTGTTTTTCCCCCTAGCTCCCCTAAAAAAAAAACAACAAAAAACCCAAAACATTTATTTGGAAATAATTTCAAACTTATAGACAGGAGCAAAAATATAAAGGGTTACATGTAACAAGTATTTTGGAAACTAATGAATAACATTTGGTCCTCATATGTGAGCAAAAAAACTAGTTCCTGTGTATTAGCCTCACAATATACCTAATGTCAGTTACTTTCTTTTAATAAGATAGGATTTTCTGTCTTACTCTGACAGACATTCTAAAAACTTGGAGCCATAGACCTACCAAAATGCATGCTCATAGCCAAACCAGTAATTCTTTTTCTTTATATTTGTACATAGAGGTCTTCACAGTTGCTACTTTTGAATTAGGAATGACATGGATTTTATAATTAGATTCATAGGTAACTTTCTACTTTAAACTGTCTTCCCACTCTGTTTTAGGGAATGTGAAGTATTCTGTAAGAACCATCCTGCTCCATTCTCAAAAGTCATTACCTTCCACAAGAGGGAACCATTTGAACTAGAAGCATTTTATACTAATTTACATGAAGTGCCTTATCCTGATCCAAGAATTGGTAAGAGAAATCAAGAAAAAAATTTCATAAACCTTTGCTTTTTGTAAATATATTAATATTTAAATCAAGGAAGTAAATAAATTGATATTTGAACTAAGCACTGGATTTTTAGAAAAAGGTATTCATACTTCTTCTAAACATGCACTTTTAATGCTCATAGGATTTCTGGAATAACAGCAAGTTTTGAGTACTTTTTACTTCATTTTTACTTCTGTATTTAAAATGCTCTGTAATCTGCCTGAAAGGTTTGGGTGAGGGCTATTTTTTTTATGGAAAAACTCCCATAGTATGTTGAAATTGTGCTGCCAGACTGACTGTATATTCTGACTTTAAATTTATGCTCCCTGGCAACAGTGTGAATGAGTATCATTGGAGCAATACAGCTGAGAATCAGGGAGTGTAATACTTGTTTTAGTTAGGTAATCTTTTTCAGAGATATAAAACAAGTATGATTTTTATAACATTTAAAAGAAGGAATCATTTGTTATTTTTAAAATTTTTATATGTGCTGCTTTTATTAATAAGCTAGAAAAAATGATACGAATATTTCAAATATGTTATTTAAAGCAGTAAAAATAAAAAAATTACTGAAGGTGGAATTAGTTTGCTAGGGCTTCTGTAGCAAAATACCACAAACTTAGTGGCTTAAACGGTAGAATGTATTGTTTCCAGTTCTAGAAGCTTCAAGTACGAAATCAGAGTGTTGACAGGGTTCCTTCAGAGGGCTGTGAGGGAAGGATCTGTTCCAGGCTTCTCTCCTTGGTTTGTACATGGCCATCTTCATGTTCACATGACATTCTCCCTGTATATGTATCTGTCTCCAAATAAGGATACCAGTCATTGGATTCGAATCCACCCTGATGACCTCATTTTAACTTGATATTACCTCTGTTTAGACCCTGTCTTCCAAATAAGGTCACTTTCTCAGGTACTTGAGAGTAGGACTTCATGGGGCACCTGAGTGGTTCAGTTGGTTGAGCGTCCGACTTTGGTTCAGGTCATGATCTCACGGTTCATGGGTTCGAGCTCTGAGTCGGGCTACGTGCTGACAGCTCAGTGTTGGGAGCCTGCTTCTGATTCTGTGTCTCCCTCTCTCTGCCTCTCCCTTGCTCATGCTCTGTCTTTCACAAAAGCAAAATCAACATCTTAAAAAATTTTTTAAAAAAGAGAGTGGGATTTCATATTAATGTGGGAATGGGAGTCTCAATTCAACCTGTAACAAAGATCAACCAGATTTTTTAGTTCTCGGTTTTTCTACCTAGTATTTTCCTTCCACTGTGGATATCATTGTATATTACAGATTTTTCAAAATAAAACATCTTAAAGTGAAAAGTGAACATCTCTGTAGTTATTAATGTCTGAATAACAGCAGTTTTTCTATAGGGCAGAATTTTTAAAAACTGCTTTATTTAGAAATTACCAACATGATTATGATTTTCCAAAGCTTATAGCAAAAGTATAGTGTTCATTTGGTTTTCAAACTCAGGTTGAATTGTTATTTTGGTTTTAGAATAGGAATATGAGAAAATACTTAAAGTTATATTGCCTTGAGTCAGATTATCCTTGGTTGAAATTCCAATTTACCTTTGTCCTAGCATTGAAGATTTTGACAGGCTGCTTAACCTTTTCTGAAACTTAGTATTAAGTTTCTTAAGCTATTTAAAAAAAAAAAGGTGATCTTGGGTCAGTGCCTTTCCCACAGTAATTAATCTGGATTTGATGATAATTTTATGATTGTTTGCCAGCATCTAAGAGATAATAGTCAAATTATTGAATGAGTGAATTGAATAAGTTAATCAGAGGCCCATGTACTGATGAAAGCTCTTTTTTCCTGAAGGGAGCTTCACTATTCAGAATGTATTTCCACAGTCTGATGGTGATAGTTCAAAAGTGAAGGTTAAAGTTCGTGTTAACATCCATGGAATCTTCAGTGTGGCCAGTGCATCAGTAATTGAGAAGCAAAATGTAGAAGGTGATCACAGTGATGCTCCTATGGAGACCGAAGCTTCATTTAAGAATGAAAGCAAAGATGACGTGGTATGTAGAAATCCTATTGCAAGATTCCTCTAATAAATATTTTTTGTAGCTTCAAGGGGTGCCTGGGCAGCTCAGTCAGTTAAGCATCTTGGTTTCAGCTCAAGTCATGATCTCACAGTTTTGTGAGTTCGAGCCCTGCATTGGGCTCTGTGCTGACTACTCTCTGCTTCTCTCTTTGCCCTTCCCCCAGTCACACTCTCTCTGTCTCTCTCAAAATAAACTTTAAAAAATGAAAAACTATGATATATAATTTCTTAATCATAACTTACATCTTAAAAATAAAAAATAATCTGAGGTTTTGCTCTAAACTTCTATTGTAGGGATCAGTATAAACTTTTTTAAATAAAAGCATCAAAGAATAATTTTAAATGCTCTACATCTTGCACATTTTTAACCCTTTAGAGGTTTTGCATCTTTTTAATAGCTTTATATGAAACACATGTGTGTTCGGAGTCCTCTTTCCTAAATTTTTCTTTATTTCCATTAAAAACACGTATTATGGTTAGTTTTTTTAGTTTACAGATAAAACCAATTCAGACTGATAAATTTTGAACTATACATGTACCTTTAAAAATTTTTTTTAAATGTTTTTATTTATTTCTGAGAGAGAGAGAGAGAGAGCATGAGCAGGGGGAAGGTCAGAGAGAGGGAGATAACAGAATCGGAAGCAGGCTCCAGGCTCTGAGTTAGCTGTCAGCACAGAGCCCGATGCAGAGCTCAAACCCACAAACTGTGAGATCATGACCTGAGCCGAAGTTGGATGCTTAACCGACTGAGCCACCCAGGCGTCCCTACATGTACCTATTCTTAGATTGATAAACCACATGCTTAATAAAGAATTTTTCTGGGCATAGGGGTATCTGTGGCAGTGGAACAGAAGAGTGTGCTGTACATTTTCAATAACAATACAGATTATGACAGTTAATTTCTTTTTGAAAGAGTTATGTGACCCTAGCACTATATTCACTCTTGGTGTACTATAGATGCAGGAATCGTAGGTGAACATGATTATATTCTATTACATAGAGATTTTACCTTTTTATATGTATACTATTATAAGTTATTTTTAATGGCATTTTTTCCCAACCATAATTGGAGATCTGCCCTAGATTTTTTGTGTATTTGTGCATATTAAGAATGGATTTTGTGGGGCGCCTGGGTGGCTCAGTCAGTTAGGTGTCCGATTTCAGCCCAGGTGGTGACCTTGTGATTCGTGAGTTCAAGCCCCGCATCAGACTCTGTGCTGACAGCTCAGAGCCTGGAGCCTGCTTTGGATTCTGGGTTTCCCTCTTTTCTCTGCCCCTCTCCTACTCAGGCTGTGTGTGTGTCTGTCTGTCTGTCTCTCTCTCTCAGAAATAAATAAAAACATTTTAAAAAAGAATGGTTTTTGTTAAATTTCAAGACCATTTTTCCCTTCTGTGGAGTTGTCATTTTTTCTGTTTTTATTAATAATTACTCTAAAATCTTCCACGTTGATCAGAATCCTCTTTAAGGTACTTATTTTAAGGATCATAGCATTTTCTTTCTTCTTCCCATGTATTATTTTGCTATTACAACCTTCCTTGAAGTGAGAAGAAATGTCCTAATCTGTTAGTGAAGATAGTTTTTTATAAATTAATGTAAGAATAATAGGTGAAAAGTTTTCTTAACTGTAGTTCATAGTAATTTGTCAGACATATAAAAGTTAGTTTTCTTAATTGTAGTTCACATTAATTTAAGTCATACATAGAAATTTTAATCCATTAAGATTTATTTTTACTAATATTGAGAGCACTCTCTATGCCTCAAGGATGAATTCTTCATAACCATTTCTATTTTCTTCACCTCTGCTGAGACCTTTAGTTTTCTCTAATCGTGATTCCTGGGCACTAAAAACAATAATATGGCACCCATTTTTTTCTGCCTCCTCTAGCATTTATATGCTTTTATTTTGTCTGTGAGCTTTAAGGTTAGTCAGTCAGTCCTTGGGAATAATCTGGATGTGGACTTAAAGGACTCAGCCCTGAATAAAGGGTATGAAATAATGACATCTGCTTTAGCTCCTCAGAGACTTACTACTTGTTTATCAAAAGTGTTTTGCCTTGTTGGAACATTTCCAAGTAGTTGATGTACCCACATAAGGGATTTCTTCTAGATAAGTGAGATGTTCCTGAATACTCCTTCTACGATACATGTAATCAAGGAGAAAGAAAGGTTAACTTTATGGACCTATCCTTGGTGTTATTGGCAAGCACATTCTCCTTTTAAATCCCTACCATAGCTGATAAAGTAGGTATTGAATACATTTGTTTCCGAATCATTGCCAACAAGGGGTGATGTTGAGTATCCTGTGTAGAAAACATCCCATATACTGTATTTGTTAATGGTTCTCTCTAGGACTTTTTTCTTTAATTCTGTATTCAAAAGTTTAAAACCATAAGGCTTACATTACATTATAAAGTTGTTTCCCCCTTCCTCCCCCAAAATGTGAATCAATTCAGAGTAGACTTTGGAAGCTAATTGTTTAAGTTTTGGAGGAGAAAATAAGTTTTTACTCTACCTCAGCTGCTGACACTGCTGAATCTGATATAAAGAAACCCAGTGAGCTGCAGCAGCAGGAGTCTTCTTTTTCTTTTTCTTTTTTTTTTGCACAGGAGTCAATTTATGAAATTATTGGCTTCATTTTTTCATTAAAAATTAAGATAGCTTTGATTTTTCCTGAAAAATAATAACACATTGTGAACTTTTCTTCAATATAGAGATGTGTCAGAAAATTAAATTGATACTTCTTGGTGTATACTAATTAATACATAGTCATCCTAAAAAGTTATCGCAGCCTAGGCTTTATCACAGAGTCCGAGATCAGAAAGACTATATGCTATTCATTGTACTACTATATCTTGGTTTTACTATTCCCCAACTGTTGGCCATTTGAGTAGTTCATCTTTTTATTTACTTTTCGAAAAACTCTACTTATACATAATAAGTACCTATTACGTATACATATAAGGCACTGTTTTAGGCACTTTACACTTAAACTTACAGTGGTAAGCAAAGAAGAAAATGTCCCCCACCATCTGTAACTTAACATTCTAGTGGGAAAAGACAAGCTAGAAGCAACAAGATACTGTATAAAGGAAATTAAAGGAGAGGGGGATGCAAAGTGGAAATTAACTGTGTGATAGTGACCAGGGAAGCCACCTATGAGGAAGAACAGGTAAGCCAGCCTGAAGGATGAAAAAGCAGTTTGAAGATACATAGGTAGTTTTCTGGGCAGACTGAAAAACAAGTATAAAGACCCTGGGGCTGGAAGCTCCTTTTTGTATTCTTTGTTGTAACAAATATAAGGGTAGCTGATACATGAGATATAGGAGTGGAGAGTGGCCAGAAAAAAAATTTAAGAAGGTAGATCAAGGGGCAGGTCAAGCCTTTATAGTTCATGAAAATGACTATGGATTTTATTCTGAAGTGCTTTTCATTCAGCAGATAACTAGAAGCACTAAGATGTGTGTTTGGATATAGCAGTGAACAGAAAAACGATCCTCATCAAATTTAAAATCTATTAAGAGATGCCAGAGTCTAGAGGCACTTCCTTTATTTAATTCCCCACTATGGATAATATTCCTATGAACCTTATTAAATCGTTTTAAAAGGTTAACAAGTTATTCTCAAATTAATTGTGAGATGCACAGTTTCCCACTTTTTAATATATCTGAAGTTAGGGAAGGTCTTGCAAATGATATCTTTTACATGCTGTTGCCAGTGGTAGTAATGGTGACATAGTTCTCATTACCTGTATGTGTGTGAACTTGGTTGCTATTCCCATTGGTATGATTAAGCAATTGCATCCCCTTGACATTTCCATCAACAAATTGTTTAAAGACCATTCAAGGGGCGCCTGGGTGGCTTAGTTGGTTAAGCGTCCGACTTTCGCTTAGGTCATGATCTCGCGGTTTGTGGGTTCGAGCCCTGCGTCGGGCTCTGTGCTGACTGCCAGCTCAGAGCCTGGAGCCTGTTTCAGAGTCTGTATCTCCCTCTCTCTGACCCTCCCCTGTTCACGCTGTCTCTCTCTATCCTAGAAATAAATAAAAATATTAAAAAAAATAAATAAAGACCATTCAAGGAATGAATTCTCTTGGCTGTTGTCTGAAAACAATCTGCTGACTCCTTTTGGTAGATAAAACACCCTAATGAAACTTGCATGATAGGTGTCAGCGGCTTATAATAAAATACTACAGACCATACCTAGACCGAACCTTTTTAAACAAAAGCTGGGACACTCTAATGCCTTTGATGGCACAAAGGAAAATATTGTGTAGACAAATACATTGACAACTGAATTTATTTGAAAGAGTTGGATTCTGAATGTGAAGTTTTAGAAACACCATAACCACTTTATATGGTTTATCCTTCAGTGATATATTCACAGTAGAAGAGTTCTTTCATTAAGTATAAAGTAAAAATGCCAAGTGATCAACCATTTTGGCCACTTAATTAGCATATCTTTCTTATTATATGAAATAAAGTTAACAGTGTATTTGTGTCTTACTATATTACCCCAACTTGCCACTATCACTTTTTTCACCTCTTTTCAATCAGGGTGGGGGAAATTATACAGTTGAAAGGTGGCTAGAGGTGAGGTGGCGGGTGAAATATCAGAAATAATTGACCTTTTAACTACGAAGAATGCTGGTATAAATTATCTCCCAACTTATTTTTCTCTTTGGCACAAATAAGAATTGATTCGTCATCTCCTTCTGGTTATTTTGTATTGCTTAACTCCAGATATATTAGGAAACTTAAATCATACTGATTTCCTGAATTTCAAGCTTTCTTCTTGTTAGGAAGAAGGTCATAAATAAGGTTAAAACAGGTTTACCAAGGAGAGTCTATTTTGACTATCTTCTTGGTTGAGAATTTGTCTTCTAGCATTAAAAAACTTTGAGGTTCAGGGGCGCCTTGGGTGGCTCAGTCGGTTAAGCCTCTGATTTCGGCTCAGATCATGATCTCATGGTTCGTGGGTTCAAGCCCTGCGTCGGGCTCTGTGCTGACTGCCAGCTCAGCGCCTGGAGCCTGTTTCAGATTCTGAATCTCCCTCTCTCTGACCCTCCTCTGCTCGCTCGCGCTCTCTCTCTCTCTCTCTCTCTCAGAAATAAACATTTAAAAAAATTTTTTAAAAACTTTGATGTTTACATTATAATTCGGAGACATCTACTTTGACAGTTTCAATGCATTGAGTATTTTACTACATTTAAAAAATATAATTGAGTTTATGTAATACACATATTTTATATCTTTATTTTCTCACCTTTGTAAACATTTTTCATGTAAACATGTTTCATGCCAATTTTAATGTTCTTTTTTTGTAAGCTTATGTTTGTGGGTTTTGGTTGGTGAATTTAACTTAAGAATAATTTTCCATTTATTTTGCAGTTATTTGCCTACAAGGTGAAGGAAACTATTCATTCACATTGCATTAAATAGGTTTTTTATTTTACTTACCTGTTAATCTATTTGTATTCTCATTTGAAAAATAGCCTTCTTCTTTACTACGTTCACACTTTTCAAAGCAGGTTTGAGCTCTAAGATGCTATTTATTAAAAAATAAATAAGGAAGACACTACAAATAGTACCAATTACATATTTTCTTTCCAGGATAAAATGCAAGTTGACCAAGAAGAAGGAGGACATCAAAAATGCCATGCTGAACACACCCCAGAAGAGGAAATTGATCATACAGGAACCAAAACAAAAGTGTGTTTTACTCTTTTTATGATGGTGTCTTTTTGAGATTGATATTTGGAGTTAATGTGTTCACTTTATAATGCATTCTTTTAATAAACTTGCTATTTTAAATCTTAGCTGTAGAAAAGTATAGAAGGACACAACCAGAGCAAATACAATTCAGTAAGTTATTATAGAGGATTTTTAAAAGATTGAACCTTAATAATAGAAGTAAAACTGTCTCTTTGGTAGGAAAAAAGATGTGTTTTTCAGTAACCTTATGGCTTACTAAAAGCCATATAATCCCAGAAAAATAGGAAATGGAGTAAGCTAAATGAAGAAAACTTAAATTGGCAGAACCTTGCATTTCAGAATTAACCACTTAAAGCATTTTGCTACATATTATAAAATATTTTGCTTTGTGCAAAAATAAACATTTTTGAAAGTAAAAATTTTAAGGGTAACTTTTTTATTGAGAGTCATTATTCTACAAGCAGTCATTGCTAATAAAGGGAGAGACCATGACCCAATCATGAACGTATTCTAAATACCATCTTCAACGGATTTTTCTAAACTGAGAATTTAATCTGTGTAGGTTAGTTATATAGATTTTTTTTTCCCAGAGGTTATAAAGATTCAATTTTAAATCCTGTGCTCTCAAGTAATTTACAAACTGAAACCCATTTTTCTAGATTTTTTAGTTTATTTTTTTAATGTAATTTATTGTCAAGTTAGCTAACATACAGTGTATTTAGTGTGCTCTTGGTTTTGGGCTATATTCCTATGATTCATTGCTTACATACAACATCCAGCAGTCATCCCAACAAGTGCCCTCCTTAGTGCCCCATCATCTCTTCCCCCCTCCCCACCGCCCCTCATCAATCCTCAGTACTCTCTGTATTTAAGAGTCTCTTATGGTTTGCCTCACTGTTTGAAACTATTTTTTTCCCCTTTCCTTCACCCATGGTCTTCTGCTAAGTTCCTCAGATTCCACATATGAGTGAAAACATAATTAATTTTTTTTGCTTTAGTTATTTAACTGCTTGAGATATAGTTTACATATAATCAATATAATCAGTCCATTCACGTATACAGTTAAGTGGTTTTTCAATACATTCACAGTCTTGCAGCTATTATCACAGTCATTTTCACAGCGTCTTCATCACCCAGGAACTGCCCAGCAGTTTTCCAGAATGGATGGTTCAATATTTTACAGTCTTGTCAGCAATGTATGAGGGTTCCAGTTTCTCCACATCCACAAACTCTTGTTTTTTTGTTTTTTTTTTCCATTATAGCCATCTCTAGTGGGTGTGAAGTAGCATCTTATGATTTTAAAATGCATTTCCATCTCAGTTATTTTTTATGTAGAAAGATTTAGTGTACACAGTATAAAATATGGTCTGTATTAAAGTAGTCTTTAGTAGAATGGTAATAGTTTTGTTCAATTTTACTTTTGTTTTATCTGAAATCACTTCTAAATCTGTTTTTAAGCTGGTTTTAGAAATTTATACTTCTCTTACATTTCTTTTTGCAGTCAGCTCCCTCAGACAAACAAGACCGATTAAACCAGACCATTAAAAAAGGAAAAGTCAAGAGTATTGATCTACCTATTCAGAGTAGCCTGTGCAGACAATTGGGCCAAGATCTTCTCAACAGCTACATTGAAAATGAGGTATATAAATCTGAGTTGATGTTGAAATAAGTGGTAGTATCTTCTAAAAATTTTATAGAAGTCAGTGATTATTCCCCTCCCCGCAAGTTTGGGGATCTAGTCCATAACGCCGAAGGAATTATTAAATAGATCATTGAACTACGTTATTTTGGATAAAATATTGAGCTGTATTAATGTTATGTACAGGGTAGCTTTCATCATAGTTATGTGAAAAACATGTGTGGTCTTCACTGTAAAGACCATTCCAGTACTAATGATTCTTACCTGCTTTTACTGTGTCTGTAACAGTAACACCTGGCAGACATCATACGGGAAGTATTCGCAGCCCCCCTCTTCTAATGTATTGTTCTTAAAGGTCAAGGCTTTATTCAGATATCTTCTGACTTCCATTTAATACTTTTTAAGATCTATTGTCATTCTTGAAATTCCTTACATGTCTGTGTGTTTAATTTTTATAGTCCTTTAAGGAAAAGTGTTTTGTTTCTTGATTAGCAATTGTATAAGAAATAATTTTATTTTTAAAACTTTTATTTAAGTACTGGTCCATAATTTCTATAGGCTTGGCAGGCATTAAAGGTCAGTTTTCTTCGAAGTACCTCATATTCTCCCATTTGCTGCACATAATTCTAGGAATTATCTTTGAAATATTTTGACTTTACAATGCTTGCTCTTTTTAGTACTACCTATATTGTCTATTCATTAACTATTAAAGGCTGAAATTTATGTGAAGCAAGCATTCCTGAAGACCATGGATAATTCTGTTTTGAGACTTACCTTCCCAAAGGAATGAATTGTAGGGAAGTGCAGCTATGGCAAATTTTGTGTATAAATTTTTTCTTAAGTTTTTAAATGTTTATTTTAAATTCATAGTGTCAGTGCACTGTAGTCTGTTTAAAATACTATGTTTCTGTTGAAGTGAAAATTTTGTTCAAGTATTACAATCCTCAGATTATTTATTTCTTTGCTTTAATTAAGACACTCATGTTTGCTAACCTCTTTAAACACTTTGATATATTAATTAATCCTCACAACAAACCTATGAGGTAGAAGTACTGTTAAGAGATCTGTGTTTTACAGATGAGGAAACAGGAAGAGGTAGACTAAATCACCAGATTTAGTGGCCAGAAAGTAACCTTTGGGTTGGATCTGAGTAGTCTGTCTCCGGAGCTCAGCATCACAACCACTATAGTAAATCCCCTAAGAGCTAACATTTATTCAGCATGAGTTAGATGCTAGACACTATACCAAACTTTTATGTGAATGATGTCAATCTTAGTAACAGCCCTAAGAGATAGATAGAAGTATCCTCTCTGTTTTAGGATAAGAAAACTGAGGCTTAAAGAGGTATAGTGACCTTCCTGTGATCTCAAAGCTATTAAATGGGGAGTCAGGGAATTGAACCCAAGTATGTATGGGTTCTATATAATGACATAGTCTATGTGTAGTTTGTAAAGAAGCTTTATTGAGATATAATTCACATACCATACAATTCACTCAAAGTGTACAATTCAGTGACTTTTGGTATATTACACATTACTACACATTTACACATTACACACTACTTTTAGACTAGTAAAATATGCCATTTTAACTAAGTGTACAATTCAGTGGCATTAATTACTTTCATAATTTTGTGTAACCACCACCACCACCATTTTCTAAAATTTTTCATAACCCCAGAACATCTGTAATCATTAATAACCACCCCCATTCTTCCCTTTTCCTTATCCTCCAGTTAGCTCTATCCACTTTGTCTCTGTGAACTTGTGTAGTCTAGAAAACTCCTATGAATGTAATCATATTTGTCCTTTTGTATCTGGTTTAGTGCACTTAGCATGTTTTCAGAATTCATCCATGTTGTAACATAAATTATAACTTTATTCCTTTTTATAATAGAGTAATTTTTATTGTTTATATATACATTTCATTCATCCTTTCATCTGTTAGTGGACAGCTGAGTTGTTTCCACCTTTTGGCTCTTGTGAATAATGCTGCAGTGAATATTGGCATACAAATAACTGTTTTGAGCTCCTGTTTTCAATTCCTTTGGGTATATACCTAGGAGTGAAATTGCTGTGTCATACTGTAATTTTTTGTTTAATTGTAGCTTTTTGAGGAACCACCAAACTGTTTACATAACAGCTGCCCCATTTTACATTCTCAACAGCAATGTACAAGGGTTTAAAATTCTTTACATACTCACCAACACTATTCATGTCTTTGATTTAGTCATTCCATTAGGTATAAAGGGGTTTTGGTTTGCATTTCCCTAATGCATTTTTTAAAATTGAAGTCTAGTTGATACACAGTGCTACCTTAGTTTCAGGCATACAGCATAGTGATTAAACCAGTCTCTACATCATGGTATGCTCATCACAAGTGTAGCTGTCACCTGTCACTGTTACTATACCATTGACTATATTCTCTGTGCTGTACCTTTTATCCCCATCACTTACTCATTCCATAACTTGAAGTATGTATCCTTACTCCTTTTCCCACTTTTTGCCCATCCCCCCACCTCTCTCCCCTCTGGCAGCCATCAGTTCTATTTATGGGTCTGTTTCTACTCTTAGTTTATTCATTTATTTTGTGTTTTAGATTCCACATGCAAGTGAAATCATATGGTATTTTTCTTTGACTTATTTCATTTAGCATAATATACTCTAGGTCCATTTATGTTGTCGCACATGGCAAGGTTTCATCCTTTTTATTGCTGAGTAATACTACACACACACACACACACACACACACACACACACACCATCTTGATCCATTCATTTATCAACAGACACTTGGGTTTTTTCTGTCTTGGTTATTGTAAATAATGCTGCAATAAACATAGGGGTGCATACATCTTTTTGAATTCGTGTATTTGTTTTCTTTGGCTGACTGCCCAGTAATAGAATTATTGGATCATACAGTAGTTCTTAGTAGTTCTATTTTTAATATTTTGAGGAATCTCCATACTATTGTTTCCCACAGTTACTGCACCAATTAACATTCCCACCAACACTGCACAAGGGTTCCTTTTTCTCCACATCCTCTCCAATACTTGTCATTTCTTGTCTTTTTGATCTAGCCATTTTGGTATGGTGATAATAGGTATAAGGTGATAATCTTATTGTGGTTTTGATATGCATTTCCTTATGACTCTTGTGCATATTCTTAATAACAGCTAATCTGAACATTTTGAATAGGGGAAGATGATAATGCAAGATAAATTAGAGAAAGAAAGAAATGATGCTAAGAATGCTGTTGAAGAATACGTGTATGATTTTAGAGACAAGCTGGGCACTGTCTATGAAAAATTCATCACTCAAGAAGTAAGTCTAAATTATGTATTTTTTATTAGAACTATTTGTTTGACAGTGTTAATACGAATTATGTAAATAAACATACCAGATGTGTTGCTGTTGTCAATCTCCTTGGGCCACATTTAGTAATGATTCTTAGTTATTTCTCCTAATTGCAGAAGTATGGTGAAAAACACGTTTAAAATAAAAAGCCAGAGAAATCTGAAATTTAATCTTTTATACTTAAGAAATAGTCTGTCCTTCTTTGATAACTTCCTCCTAAGGAGAGCAATTTCAGACAGTGTCTCTTCAATGTATAACTAGGACTTGAATAAACTGTCTGCAATATTGGAAGATACAGAAAATTGGCTTTATGAAGAAGGAGAAGACCAACCTAAACAAATTTATGTGGATAAGCTTCAAGAACTAAAGGTAAAGTTTTTAAAATCCATGTTAATTTTGAATAGAACATCGTTCTTCTAAAAGTTATGGTATAAAAGCACAGTCTATTTTTAATAAATACACTAGAAAATACTGAGGCAAGATATGTATAAGTGTTCTCTAATCTTAAAAGCATTTTTAGAGGCCAGTAGTGCTATATAATTGAAATCAAATAATATACAATCATATTTATTATGATAGATATAAATATGTAGCAGATGGCTGGAGTGTAACCACTTTTACATTAGGCATTTATTTCTGAGATGTCATTAAGAAGTGATTTGTGAACCTGATCCCTTCTTATCCATTGGAGAATACACCCTTTCCTTTCTCTGCTTCTCTCCCCCTTCACTGTGCCTTGATTTTGAGGAATATACACTGCCTTTTGTATTTTCACATTCCACCTGATACGGACTACCTGGCCAGTGAAGAAATTTAAATTTCTTTCACAAAGAAATATGGAGATGTGGCAACCAGGTCTCCTTTTTCTAAGTCACTGGTATGATTTTAAGAAACAATCACTATTACTCCTTTCTGTCTGCTTGCCTACCCTTTCAAAAGTATTGAAAAAAATGCTTTTAAATTCAGTTTACAAGGATTACAGGAATTTGTCTTTTCTTCTTAGTGTGCATCATAGCAGTACTTTAATGTTCACATGAATTACCATGGGCTTTTACTGAAGTGTAGACTATGATTTGGTGTATCTGAGGTGATGGGCCTATGATACTGCCTTGTTAACAAGCTTCTAAGAGGTTCTGATGCTGCTGGTCCCTGAGCCATTATGAGTAGCAAGGGAAACACATAGATGACATTGATAGGGTTCCTAGAATATTGAGAAAGGCAGCCTTTTAGGATTGGGGGAGTGGAGTGTAAGAGAAGTTATTTAAAAGTAAAAGCTAATATCTTGGAAGTTATAACTCCCTTCATGCCAGTAAACTACTTCTAAACAGAATAATTAGCAACCAGACAGCCTGAGTTTAATGATAGCAAAACTAGGTTTTACCACATTTTAGCTTGGTGGTGGGGTTACTCTCCATCTCCTTAAGAGCAATGTATATATTTTGGGTAGTAGGAACAGCCAGGCAGCTGAAGCCAGTAGAAATAACTAAAAAGCCCAGCAGTTCTCAAAATGGACTATTTCACCCCAAATATATAAGTAACCATAGAAATGAATGTTGCACAAGTTTTCACAGGCCTTACTATTAGGGAAGGGGGTAGCTTTTAAAAATACAGTACTTGGTCCTTTTTCAGAAACATTTACATTAAAAAGTATGATGTAAATAGACTCAGTGCAATATGTTGACCTGGAACAGAAAATTATGAAATCCACTTAAAGCCTGGAGTTCAGTGTATCAGTGTTGGTTTCTTAGTTTTGACAAGTGTATATATTGTGGTAATATAAGATATATAAAATGCTAATGTTAGAGGAAAGTAATGAGAGGTATTTGATGCTATGTTATTTCCTTTATAACTTCTCTGAAAAATCTAAAATTAATCTAAAATGAGCTGTGTTTTAAAGTACATAAACAATCTTCAAGAAAATGGGTATTCATCCTTCTAATGCATCCCCTTCCTCAGAATTCAGGAGGCTATTTTAACATTCCAGGCACTTGGGGTAAGGGGCCAAAGTTTTGTTTTTTTGGTTTTAAGTGCTATACTTATAGATCCAGGATTTCCATTTAATTATTAAACATGAATAATATTCAAAAGAAAATATCTGGAAATCCCAGGAATCATGATGCTTACAGAGTTATACACAGAAGTATTTGAAACCTTTCATTCAAATAAATGAATTATGCATGTGATACTGTCCTTATGGTTAATAGGTTTGTAAATTTTTAACACAACTTGAATTAAGTGTTGCCTTTGGATTTGACAGGAATCAAGAAGCGGTAATGTTAGTAAATGAAAGACCTGAATCATTAGTTAGGCATCCCTGTGTTGGACTGCATAAGGAAATAACCAGTGGAATTTAATCTCGTGTAAAGGGAAATGGAGAAGACATGTTTTGATCTGGCCAGTTTTCTTTCCTATTATTCATCGTCATGTAAGGGTCCAATAAAACTTGTCTTCTCTTAAAAGTTGTTTTCTGTTAATAACTTTTTCTTTTAAAAATTTTAATAGAAATATGGCCAGCCTATTCAGATGAGGTACATGGAACATGAAGAGAGACCAAAAGCTTTAAACGACTTGGGAAAAAAGATTCAACTTGTTATGAAAGTGATAGAAGCATACAGAAACAAGGTATTTAAGTCACAGAGCAAGCTGCTGCTGATGGCATGTGTATCATGGTACATGGTGGGATGGGTTAATTCTGGAAGTTCTCAGCCACAAAGCTATAGCAGTTGTTTCTGTCAAATTCCAGAGACCTTGTGCTCTAAACTTAAAACTTTTTTTTTTTTAATGTTTGTGTACTTTGAGAGAGAGTAGGGGGAGAGGGAGAGAGAGAATCCCAAGCAGGCTCCGTGCTGTCACTGCAGAGCCGTGTGCATGGCTTGATCCTCTGGACCATGAGATCATGACCTGAGCTAAAATAAAGAGTCAGACGCTTAACCAGCTGAGCTACCCGGACACCCCTATATTTTTATTGGAAAATTATTGGGAAAGGGTACTGATACATTTAAAAATACAGTGCAGATATGTGGCTTTAATCTCTTAAAATCTCTAAACCACACTTCAACCCAGTGACTAAATCTATCATTTTCTTCCTAGGGATTTCATTACTAATACAGTGAAAAAGAATTTTTCTTGGGCTTTTATTTTATTATAGGCCTCTTGGAGACTGGACAGTGCTAGACTTCATTTTGTTCTTTGGCCTCTTTTGCTTTTGGTTACTCTTTGTCTTCCAGTCTGTTAGACATTTGTGGTCTCCTGTACCCTTTATTCTTTTATATGCACACCCAAATCTATATACCCTTAACCTGCCCACTGTTCTTAAGCTTTAAATATCGTTATATCCAAAAGGAGATATCATTTATATAACAGTAAAATCTGACAAAATTCAGCTTACCATTTTTTCCTCTAAACTCAAGGTTAGCAAGCTTTTTTTTTTAATGAACAAATAGTAAATATTTTAGGTTTTTATAGGCTAACTGTTCAGCTCTGCCATTGAAGTGTGAAAGCATCCATATACAGTACAAAAATGAATGGGTATGGCTGTGTTTCAAAATAACTTTATTTAAAAATGCAGGGGAAAACACAAGCAGCAGGTTAGATTTGGCCTTCAGGACAAGTTTGCTCTCCCTTACTTTAAATATTCACTATAATTTCCCCAGTTTTTATCATTAGAGTTAAAACTGCATCAGTAGGCAGGAGAAGGAGCTAGCACCAGATTCAGGCAGGTTATCTTAATAACTTAAGTTCACCAAAAAGTGAATTTTAAACACTTTTCATGGATTATCTCTTATTGTCATAAGGATATATCATAAGAAAACAGCAGTACTTAAGGAACTTTTCAAGAATTACACTGGTAGTAAATGACGGAGTTAGGATTAAAACTTGAACAGTCTGAAGTTAACATACAAACTCCTATCAACTATGCTGCTTTTCACTACACTCTGCAAAGAGGCTGTTTATTTTACAAATAGATTTGTTAATTTTGTAACATAAGATCACAATCCAGCCAACTGAAAAGCAGCAGCCAGGTACTGATTGTGACTGTGTCCACCACTGTCAGTGTATAAACTCTCCATACATGTACAAAGAATATAAGGATAATGGAAAGTTAAGAAGGAAGCAGACAAATGAGAACCAATATTTCAAATATGGCACTGGACATCCACATACAATACATGGCCTCATGTTCCCCAGGCTTTAACATTCTTCTTTGAGGATGCAGGTTTAAGATACCAAAGCAAGACTTACATTCACTTACATTGAAGGATTTTGAATTTTTCTTACGTGCTGTCTTCAGTTCAAGGTGCTGGAACTACAAGCATCAAACAAAACATTGAACCTGTTTCTAATATGCTTTAGTAGGGAAAGGTAAACAGTAAATAAGTTACTTTCCTTTTTTTTTTTTTAAATTTTTTTAAATGTTTTTTATTTATTCTAGGAGAGAGAGAGACAGCGTGAGCCGGGGAGGGTCAGAGAGAGAGGGAGTCACAGACTGAAACAGGCTCCAGGCTCTGAGCTGGCAGTCAGCACAGAGCCCGACGCGGGGCTCGAACCCACGAACCCCGAGATCATGACCTAAGCAAAAGTCGGACGCTTAACCGACTAAGCCACCCAGGCGCCCCATAAGTTACTTTAAAATAGTCAGATGGAAAGGTGCTTGGATGGTTCACTCAGTTAAGCATCCAACTTCACCTCAGGTTATGATCTTGCAGTCCATGAGTTCCAGCCCCACATCAGGCTCTGTGCTGACAGCTCAGAGCCTGGAGCCTACTTCAGATTCTGTGTCTCCCCCTCCCTCTTTGTTCCTTCCCCATTCACACTCTATCAAAAATGAATGAATGTTAAAAATATTTTTAAGTAGATAAAGGACTATTGAAAAAGTAAGGGACCACCAAAGGTGGAGGGGATTTGTCAGAAGGGCAGATGATCTACTGTTAGGAGAGAACTAAAGAAAGTGAGGGCTCAAGACGTAAGACAACTATAAGAAAAGAGTTGTAGAAAAAGGGAAAGCATTTACAAACCTTAAGGGGAAAATGTGTTGAAGGAACAGCAAGGAGGTCAGTGTGGCTTAAAACATTGGGGGTGGTATTAGAGTCTAGTGCCTAGTAAGCTATCATAAAAGTTTGGCTTTGAGATATGAATCCATTGATTGGAGGTGTGTGGGTTTTTTGCTTAGTGTTTATCCATTTTTGAGAAAGGGTGAGCAGGGGAGGGGCAGGTGGAAGGTGGGCAGGGGATCCAAAGTGGGCTCTATGCTGACAGCAGAGATCCTGATGTGCTCAAATTCATGTACTATCAGATCGTGACCTGATATGAAGTTGGTGGTGCCCCCCATTGGAGGTTTTTGAACGTAGAAATAACATGATTTATTTTTTAAAGGATGTGGAAACAGACTAGACATTACTAGAATAACACTAGAAATGATATAGACTTGAAGGTTGCATATTGAAGGGGGAATAGATGTTTGCACATTGTACATTGTAAGATTTGGTGATAGATTTTATGTAAATGTGACAGAGGAGTCAAAAATGACTCCAAGGATATGGCCTGGAAGGATGAAGTTGCTATTTACTGAGATGGAGAAAATGGGAAGAGTAGGTGGGGGGTGTAATCAGGATTTTGAAACATAGATGATCATTTCATTCTTTACAAATAGAAATTCAGGTTGGAAGCTGGATATAAAGTTGGGATTTCAGGGAAAAGCCTCAGTCTAGAAATTTTTTAAGACATTCATATGAAGGGATGAATGGAAAGGAATATAGGATGTGAGCCATGAGGTAGAAAGGAATTCAGAAAAATAAGGGGACCCAGAACCTGGGTTCAAGATTAAGTATGTAAATATGGGATCCTATAAGCAAAAGAGAAATATGTGATGAAGCTTTATAATTGTAAAACACAGCATCACCACTCTCCCAGTTCTTTGGCTTTGGAGTACTCTTTCATTCTCTTTCCCTTTATTTTCTGTGTTCCATCTATAATCCATCAGGAGATCCTCTTTCTGTATGTTGCATTGCCATTTCTTTCTCATGATTACCATCCTAAACCATGACTTACATTACTTCCTGTATGTGGCAGCTGTAGTTGTGTTTTTCAGACATAATTTTATTATGTACTTCTCTTTATCAAGAACTTACCATGTTCTTTTATATATTTAGAATTTTCTGTCTGGCTTGCACCATGCTTTCTTCCCTTATTTCTCTTTATTCCGTAACAATTGAATTCCCTGCAGTTTGTTTCTTGACTAAGTACTTTTCCCTTGAATATTATGCACTAGTCATTTTTTTTTAAAACCTGACTTATTCAGAAAGCCTTTCCTTTTAAAAACCCTCACTGGTTTGTTTCTCCCAGTCTCCTCAATGTTGTGTAATTTGTATGTGGTTTCTTCACTTGGGTATGTGGGAGGTATACATCCAATAAGAGCCTAAATATTTTAAATGGAAATTATTAATAAATGCTTACTGAAAAATTTGTTACAAAGTAAAAGGTTTTGTTTAATAGGATGAAAGATATGATCATTTGGATCCTGCTGAAGTGGAAAAAGTTGAAAAATATATTAGTGAAGCTATGAGTTGGTTAAATAGTAAGATGAATGCACAGAACAAATTAAGTCTCACTCAAGATCCTGTGGTGAAAGTCTCCGAAATAGTTGCAAAGTCCAAGGTAAGTAACTATAAAATTTTTTTTAATGGGTTCAAGCCATTAAGCATTTCTTTTCTTTTTTAATTTTAGAGCGCAGACATAAACAGGAGAGAGGTGCAGAGGCGGGGAGAGAGAGAGAGGGAGAGACAGTCTTAAGTAGGTTCCACACTCAGCATGGATTGCCCAGTGTGGGCCTTGATCCCATGACCCTGGGATCATGACCTGAGCCAAAATCAAGATTCGGAAGCTCAATCGACTGAGCCGTTCAGGCACCCAGGCCATTAAACGTTTTTAATAGGAGCCATACTTGAAGCAATATTAGCTTGCAAGAGAACTTAGAAAAAAAATGAAGGCTAATTTTAAATTTTTCAAAAAGAAGGTTTTTAGGTGGGACATCTCTGTTCCTTGATTTTGTCACATGAGGCTGATTTTTAAATTTTAAGGGTACTACACAGTGAAATAAAGCAATGTGACAACTTCTTACTGTTAAATATGTCAGACTTTCTTGACTGGAAAGGACTTCTAAATCTCCATTGTAAAACTTTGCTGTGTAGGTTTTTGACATCATTTGAAATCTGTAAAATTCTATGATAAAATCTTATTTCTGAGATACATTTTCCAGTCTAAACATTAGTGAAAATATCAAAGATTATCATAGAAAACACCATGAAAAACATTGGACAAACTTTATAATAAAGACTATCATTTAAGAACAAAAATGAATGAAGACATTAGAGAAGCAATTGACAAAAGATGACATACATAACTCATCCTCCTAACTCTCCTTTCATCCATCTTTTCTTTTCACTGGTCATGGTTGTCTGTTTACATTCATAATCTTTGTCACAAGTTGTCAGGGGTGTGCAGAAATGGATGTTTTCCTTGAGCAACTTGGTTGAATTTGTTTCAACCTTTTGTATCAGTATATGTATAGAAATTTAATGGGAGTGTACATACCCTTTAACCCAGAAATCATAATTCTAGGAATTCATCCTAAATTGATCATTACACAAGTATAGGAAGATAAATACCCTTCCTGGTAAATTAGGAAAAAACATTGGAGGAAACAAATAAATGTCAGTAAGAAACTAGATAAATGGAAGCATCTGTATAACACTTTGCAACATTTACATAATTTTAGATATAGAGGATGTGTTTAGATACAAAGATGAGTCCAACGTATCGAGTGAAGTTATCTCGCTATATAAATTAGCATGTTCATAGATTTGTAGGTTTGTATGTGTGTGTGTGTGCATGGACATAAATGTTAATGTTACTCGATAGAAGATGAAATTTTAGTTGACTTTATTGTGTTTTCAGGTTTTTTGTAAGTTTAAAGAAAACAGGTATATTTTAATTCAAATCAAAATGTTTTCCTTTGGAGAAAGTTTTGCAAGGAAGCTACAGTAATTTACTCCTAATCAGATGAAATATAGAGTATGGTAAGAGCAGTTTGCCAGTAAAACATTCCCCCCAATCTTTGTGACACTGGTCTTGAAAGATTTTAATGGTCTTTTATTTCTGTGTTAAAAAGAAAAGACAGAGGAAATACATTGTATTTACTTTAAATTACTAAGTTACATTTACACTCATGACTTTTCTTCAACATAGTTCTATAATTCCACTTATTAAAGTTTTCATGTAAATATCAATTTATCAAATAGGTGTTATTTGACAGAATTCTCATAACAGCATCAGGCATAACTTAAAGGAATAAATTAAAAATTATTTCTTCCCAAGTAAACTGTATTTAAATTATGAAGAAACAGTTTTTAAGGAGATTAGATAGAAAGCGTATTACTATTATTAAATATCGAAGAATTCTCTGTCAGCAGTAATATGTACTAACCCAGGAGTAAATGCTTCATGGAAGTATCTGAAGAAACTTGGCTATCTAACTAAACTAACATAAATTCAGGAATGTCACATTAATGTGGAATTTAGAACAGTAATAATAACTTGTTCTGTTGTATTTTTGATATAATCACTTTTCTTCTTGTCTTTAGGAACTGGACAGTTTTTGTAACCCCATCATTTACAAGCCCAAACCAAAAGTAGAGGTTCCTGAAGACAAAGCAAAAGCTAATAGTGAACACAATGGACCAATGGATGGACAGAGTGGGACTGAAACTAAACCAGATACAACAAAAGACAGCTCCCAGCATACTAAATCTTCTGGAGAGATGGAAGTGGACTAAGTCTTAATTTCATCTTCACGTAAAGACAGTGCAAGCAACCACCGAGGTCCATTCTTCCTTTTACATGTGGTACACACAACATATGTTCAGTTGTTCTTAACCACTTTTTGTCATTTGTTTTTTGGAGTAGTTTTCAAAAGTGTTTTTTATTGAGTGCACTTCTGTTCATTTTCATTGCTGCTTATGTGAAGCTTTAGCTGAGTATAGATTTACAAGTCAGTTTAAGCTTTCCTAATATATGTTATCTCAAACATGCGAGACTGATATATAGTTGGCAACAATCTACCTTATTTAAAGCTTCTACTTGGATAAACCTCAGCTCCTGTATTCAGGAGATGATACTGTTTTGCACTATTGCAGAAGCATAGATTTAATTGCATCATCATTTTGAAGAACATTGAAATTGATGTGGTTTAGAGCCACTGAGGCACTGACTTTTTTCTCGTTATTGTAGTTATAATTTAAATATTAAAACATAATTTTTCTGGTGTGCCATGAGAACTCCAAAGTGTTGTCATCACATAAATGAACTAAATCACATGTTGAAAGGGAAACACACAATTTTTATGTTAAGGTGACACCAGCAGTTTGCATCTTTTATTAGTAATGTGGATTGATGTTTCCTCAGAGTAATTCAGTGTCATTTTCACTTGGAACTTCTGATCTACTTGTCCTGAAGACCAGCTGCTGCTAACGTAATACTAGTCTAAAGATAAAAAAGCATTTTTGATGAAAATACCTTCATGTTAAGGCGCAAATGCTGTTGACCAACTCAGACATTCATCTGTGATGTTGATAGCTTTGTTTCAGTTTTAATAGTTGTTTTGGTTTTCTTAATTGATTTTGTTAATATCTGAACACAGCGTTGGGAGAAATGGCACAATGTATTACATTATAGACATTTATCACTGATTTACGTAATATTAAGAAATAGATAAACACTATTAAATAAGCGGTAATACTTGAAAAGTACTTATACCATAAGTCTTAGGAAATAATGCTTGTAATAAACTTAACTATGTTACACATATCAACAGGCAAAATATAGAATGTTACATAAGTGTAATATGTGATTAAATTATAGTTCCTGCTGTTACATTATCTATTCAGATCTTGGCTCCAGTCTTGGTGCTTCTTCTATATATCATATGGGACAAGGGACTGTGAAATTACGATATTTTAAGACTCAATTAGTGCTTCATCACCAGACTTTTTCACGTTGTTCAGTTCTGTCCAGAGGCTTGAAACCATTTAAGTGTGGGAGCAGTATGAGATGACTTTTCAAACCTACGAGATGCATAGACCATGCATGGGCACTTGTGTTTCATGCCAATCAACTAGATTAATGACCTAAGGTAAAGTTTTGAAAGGCTCACTTTTTCCCAAAGCTAAACCTTTATATTAAGAAGAATTAATAATGACTTTTTCTTACATAGTAAAAATTGAGAGTTTAATATCTTTAGGGATAGTCCTCATTTCTCACAAGTAGTTCTCTTAAGAGAGATTTTGTTTCTACAATGTAGTCTGCACTGAAAGGGGAGCATATGGAGCAGTGCATTTTGCAGGGATTTTTATTCATCCTTTTGAGGGAGATGTCCCATTTTTGCATTAAAAGAATCATATAGACCCAATATATTTTTAATGTCTTCTAGTCTTTAAACTTATCCTTTGTCTTAATACTCTTAAAGTGAACTAATTAAATATCCACTAATAGTTACTTTCTTTTTAAAGCATCAGTTACTTTTCATTTATAGGTGGAATATATAGGTTCATTTCAGGAACAGTATCAAAGTTATGAAGAAGTATTTCTACAGTACACATTAGGGAATTCATAGCTTTTTCTTGAGTTAACAAATAAATCTCCACCCACTTTGCTAAGAGCTATATAGCTCCCAAACTTGTAAACAAATGTGGAAATAACCCTTTCTGCATCTGAATTATCTAATATATCTGACATCTTCCATTTCTTCTTAAATCGGTTTATGTAGTTGTGTTTTAGTCAGATACATAATGTTCCAATTCTTGCATTATAGTACACTTCACCTGATAAGTTAAATCCATCCAAAGATAAGATGTATGCTTTCCTACTCATCCAGCTTAAATATTTTCAGAAGCTGTGTATGATTTATCAAATATGTTAATAAGGAAAAATATGTTCTCCTTAATAGTTTTGGGTAGAAGGTATGGCTCAGTTTAATCTGCACAAAAACATATGCAATACTAGACCAAAAATTTTTTTTTTCAAAATAAAAAGCCACTATTTTAGAAGTTATTTAGAAAAGACAGAAAATTAGAATGTTTTCCTATAATCAAGTATGAAGTAAGTGTGTAGAAAACAGAATGATTCAAATATACTTTCACTCTGTGAAAAAGTATAAATCACTTGGTTTCAGAATCCACCTCTGATAGCCAATTGTGATTATAAAAACAAAAGACTGCTTACATAACAAAGTTGGTGATGCTTTAATTCCTTTAACAGTATAGAGAATTATTAAGTTTAAAACAACTAGAAACAGCAAACCAAAGAATTGGGCTTTTGGAATAAACAGATAATCTCAGTCTAAAAGAGTGTAATTAATTAGACTTTTCTTAGGAAATAAAGATTTCTCAGAGTTTCTTGGCTTATGATTATTTTCTAGATAGCTATATTAAAGTGAATTTGGGGCTCAATTTTTAATATATTAAAATATTGTGTCCAAGTTAGCACATCTTGAACTGTTTTGAAAAGTTATCAAGACAATGGGCTTTCAAATACAGTGATCAAATTAGCTGACTTCAGTTTGACCCAACCTCTGTATTCATAAATTTGAGTTGTAATAAACCTATAAGAATTCCCATTAGGATTTTTTTTTTGTTTGTTTTTAATAGCTGATATTTGGTTGAAACCTTGGCATTGATCTTAAGTATCATAGAAGTGATTCTTAAGTGACAAGACAAATATAACTTCACCTTTCTCACCTTTTAGAATTTTACAACCAAATACTTAAAATTCTAAATTAATATTTTGTGGTCAGACTTTGAAAGTTTGAAATGGAATTTGGCCTTGTGATATCTGATTCTATAAAATTAATGACAGACATTATTAATTGTATCAGTATTTAATATCTGATGGCACTGATTAAAGTTCTATATCATAGGTATTTAGGGATGCTTAAAATGTGATTCTAATATGTCCTTACTTTACAATGTTTTATTAACTACCATTTAGCAAACTAATCTTCTTAAAGCCATCAATTTCAGAAGACAGACTTTTTGATCAAAAAAGAAAAGCAGGTTTAAAATTACTTTTTCTCAAGGTTTTACCAATTTAAAAGTTTCCAGGAAGCACATAATCTTTTCTTTCAATAAAAAAGTACCAGAAATTAATAATACAAAGACCAAACTCTTAACTAGAACAAAAAAACTTCTGCTATTTGGCTTTCACATCTGTAATTTTAAATGCACTAATTAATGTTCTTCCATATACTCCTGTGTTTCCTAAAAAACAGTCTTGGGTTTATACTACAGCCAGATGTTCTAAGTTTTTTTCTTGCTGATTCAAGGGTATTTGCTTCACACCTTAAAGGGCACCTGGAATTGTTTTTTAGAATGTTAAAATGAAGCAACTTCAGAAGAAGAAAACTTAAACGTCTGTGGCACAGTGGTCAGTACCTATTAGGTGATAATGGGTCTTCCATCTTCCAGATCCCTAAGGCTACCTCTAGCATATTGTTAGAGTAAGTATTAAAAGAAAAAGTATGTCTATTAAAATACATTATTAAAGACTTGGAATGTTCAAATCAAAAAAATTGAATCATGAACATTTGATTCAGTCCGTCAAGCAGGTCGAAATCCATAACCATAACAAAAATTAATAGTATAATCTTTGCTTTGGAATATTTTACTGTCCTAAGCTATAGGATGATTATTAAGGAAGTATATAGAAAATCTAAAAATGACCCATCCTGTACAAAGATAAGGGAAATTCAACTAAAACTGGAAATGACCCTATTCTTTCTGATGCATCTAGATTTATTTATTCTCTCATCCAGCTTTAGGCTCTTAAATAATCCTAGTTTTCTCCATCATATTTTGGATTTTTTTATTCTTTACGTCTTTCATTTTGCGGATTTGTAAAAATAATTACACTGCTATCCTATCACTTTGATAGCTAATTTCATTACCTTTATCCCCTTCTGAATACCAAATCTTACAGTGAAGAATTTTTGGACTCTTAAATTCATACCTGGAAAGCCGTGTTAAGTTTCCTTATGTAGTATCTCTAAAATCTAATAATGGCTTCTAGATTCTTTTGTATTATTGCCTTAGAATATTTTTAAGTAGTTCTAGACGAAAAAAGGTCAGTTTTGTGAATTATTATGTATGAAGAAACCCAAAATTCCTTATTTTTAATATAAATATCACTGTGACAAAATAAGGGTCAAAAATTCAAAAATAGTTGTTAAAGGGTTAGCAACCTTCCATTGTTTGTTGCTTTCTGATTTACATACATGTGCTGTGCATTTTCCTTGTTGTTTTTTTTTTTTTTAGAATTTCCTAAATTCTGTGCTTCCAAGACCTTGAGTCAAAATGCTTTTGAAATCATATGGATCCATCCAGAATAAGGTGTTAAAATGTCATTAGAGGGTAGGGAAATCTAGGAAATGCTTTAAAGTGCTGTATTATTTTCCCTGAAGTAAAATTCTATGGCTTAATGTCTTGGAAGGAGACTCACATTAAAAGTGGTTACCTTTTATACTTGGTAGGATGAAGCCATTGTTTAATACTACAGTATATAAAAACAGTTTTTTAATGAAATTATCAAATTGTTTTACTTCTAACAATATGGCATCCAAGTCATTTTTTCTTTTCTTCAACTATTATTAAAATAATTTCTATGGTGACTGTGACTCTAGTCATTAGTGTACAACAATTTCTGGTGATTCAGTTCTTACTAGCTAATAATTTTGTTTTTTACGAAAACTACTACATTAATTTCCAAGTTTATTTTCAGTACAAAGAGTAACAGTGCAATGCAGAAACCATAACCAAGTGTGATGTGTCTATAAAAATAATCAACTGATTTTTGCATGTAACAGACCCTCCGTTTCAATGAGCCAACCTGAGAATGGTTTTGTGATGTTACACTGGTAACATTCTAGGAATATATATTTGGTATATGAATATATATGAATTTGATTCACAAACATCCATAATAATGTTTTACAGATGGCAGGATCAAAGTATATAAAATACTTGCTGTGTATGTAAGTTGGCATCTTCATACTAGTGAACAAATAGCAATTGATAATAAATGCAATTCATTTTTGGATGACAGTGCACCTTGTCAAGTCATGTAATTATAATAAATACATTTACTTGCTCCTTGAACCATGTGTTTTGCACACCTGAGGTTTAATTTTCACATATTGAACTTCAGTGACTTGATGGTGGTTTCTGGACAAGTCATCAGAGACATCTGTAAAACTTTAATGAGGGTCTTTAAATGGGCAAATTTTTCAAACCTTCAGATGCTGTTAATTTTGGAAATATTTTGTTAATGTTGCATGTGTTGTCAGAGAATAACTTAACTGTATACTGAAAGAGAAAACATGAATAAATGAATTTAAAGATTTTAGAAATTTTCAACAGGCATAGAGGGGTTCTATGCCCAAGTGAGTCACTTAAAATTCCTCTGTTTGAGAATTGCTACTACTGACAAAAATGTGTCAAGTCGTTTAGGGTGTTAGGGTAAGAAAATGATTGAGTTCCCCTGGTCTAGAGCATCTGGTGCTTAGGGATAGAACAACTTAAAAGCATTCAAAGGCTAACAGACCCTCTGTCCAGAAAAATGTTTATATCCCCATGCACTTTATACGAAACTTCAAATACTTGTTAAGTCAAGTCTAGAAGGTTTAACAATTGGCATTTCATTCCTATTCATCTTATCCTGAATCTGGGAGAATTGGATAGGATTTAGGTTTGGTTTTCTGGTTTGCTTTGGGTTTTTGTTTTTTTGTTTTTAATATAACCAAAGTCACTAGTAATTAAACAGGAAAAGACTTAGCCTTCCAGAGGTGAAGAAAGTATGTCTTGATTTTAAGTACCTCTGATTTTATCCTTTACAATTCTCCCTTTTTAAATGTAAAAGAAAAAAAAATGTTCAAGATGGTTCACAGAGTCTGCAAATGCCAGAAAGCAGTTTGAACTAGTGTCCAACAGCATTGCCAAATTACTACATTGGTTTCCTATTTGTTCATTGTGGTGCTAAAGCAGTGTAAACCTAAAGGATTGGTGTACTGGTTTTAGAGATAGCAAGGATTAAGTTAAATTAAAAGTAAATTCGGAAGGAAACAATTTGTAGTTAAGAAAATGAACCCTGTTACTTGAACAACTTATAGCCCAAAACTTCCCCAATCTGGGGAAGGAAACAGACATTGAAATACAAGAGGCACAGAGCATTCCCCTCAGATGTAATCTGAGTAGATATTCTGCACAATATATCATAGTGAAACTGGCAAAATATAAGGACAAAGAGGGAATTCTGAAAGCAGCTAGGGATAAAAGGGCCCTAACATGCAAAGGGAGACCTATCAGAGTAGTTACACAGACCTACCTACTGAAACGTGGCAGACCAGAAAGGAATGGCAAGAAATCTTCAATGTGATGAACAAAAAAAAAAATATGCAGCCAAGAATCCTCTTTCCAGCAAACCTGTCATTCAGAATAGAAGGAAAGAAATGTTTTCCCAAACAAAAAAATTGAAGGAATTCATCACCAATAAACCAATAAATCCTAAGGGGGACTCTGAGGGAAATGTTGCAAGGAACACAAGGTACCAGAGACACCACTACAGGCATAAATCCTACAGAGAATACAATGACTAAGCCCACATTTTTTCAATAATACCCCTGAATGTAAATGGACTAAATGCTCCAATCAAAAGACATAGGGTATCAGAAGGGATTAAAAAAGAACAACAACAAAAAAAACAAGATCCATCTATTTCCTGGCTACAAAAGACTTCATTTTAGAACTGAGGACCTCATCTACTGACGGGATGGAGAAATACCTATCATGCTACCGAAGTCAAAAGAAAGCTGGAGTAGCCATACTTATATTGGACAAACTGGAGTTTAAAGGCAGTAATAAGATGAAGGGCATTATATAATAATTACAGGGTCTATCCATCAGGAGGAGCTAACAATTATACATGTCTATGCACCGAATTTGGTAGCACCCAAATACAAAGAGCAATCACAGACATAAACAACCTTATTGATAAGAATATGCTAAGTGCAGGGGACTTTAATACTCCACTTACAGCAATAGATAGATCAACTAGACAGAAAATCACTAAAGAAACAACGGACCTGATGACACACTGGGCCAAATGGATCTGACAGCCATATTTAGAACTCTAAATATGTTCCTCTTCCTGAGGCTATGGAATTCACTTTTTTCTCAAGTGCACATGGTACATTCTCCAAACAGGTCACATACTGGGTCATAAAGCAGCCCTCAATAAATATAAAAGAATTGAAATCCTACCATTCACACTTTCAGATCACAATGCTATGAAACTAGAAATCAATGGCAGGAAAAAGTCTGGAAAACCTCCTAAAACATGGAGGTTAAAGAAAAATCCTACTAAAGAATGAATATGCCAATCAGGCAATTAGAGAAGAAATTTAAAAATATATGGAAACAAATAAAAATGAAAATACAACAATCCAAACTCTCTGGGATGTGGCAAAGGCAGTCCTAAGAGGAAAGCACATTGCAATCCAGGCCTATTTCAAGAAGCTAGAAAAAGTGCAAATGCAAAATCTAACAGCGTGCACCTAAAGGAACTAGAAGCAGAGCAGCAAGAACACCCCAAGCCTAGCAGAAGAAGAGAAATAACAATATAGAATCAAAAACAAAAAAACAACCTTGAACAGATCAACGAAATCAAGAGTTGGTTTTTTAAAGAAATAAAATTGACAAACTCTAGCCAGGCTTCTCAAAAAGAAAAGAGCACTCAAATAGACAAAATCATGAATGAAAATGGACTTATTACAACCAATTCCTCAGAAATACAAGCAATTATCAGGGAATACTCGGAAAAATTATATGCCAACAAACTGGACAACCTAGAAGAAATGGACAACTTCCTAAACACACATACACTACCAAAATTCACACGGGAAAAAAGAGAAAATCTGAACAGACCCATAACTAGTGAAGAAATTGAATCAGTTATCAAAAATCTCCCAACAAATAACAGCCCTGGGACAGATGGCTTCCCTGGGGAATTCTACCAGACGTTTAAATCAGAGTTAATACCCATAATAGCTTGAGAAGTCAAGCTATTCCAAAAAATAGAAATGGAAGGAAAACTTCCAAACTCATTCTATAAAGCTAGCATCACTTTGATTCCCAAACCAGAAAGAGACCCAGCAAAAGAAGAGAACTACAGGCCAATATCCTTGATGAAGACGGATGCAAAAATTCTCAACAAGATCCTTGCAAATCGAATCCAACAGCACATAAAAAGAATTATCCACCATGATCAAGTGGAATTCATTCCTGGGTTATAGGGTTGGTTCAATATTCGCAAACCAATCAATGTGATATATCGCATTAACAAAAGAAAAGATAAAAACCATATGATCCTGTCGATAGATGCAGAAAACGCATTTGACAAGATACAGCATCCCTTCCTAATAAAGACCCTAGAGAAAGTCAGGATAGAAGGAACTTAAACATCATAAAAGCCATCTATGAGAAGCCCTCAGCTAACAACATCCTCAACGGGGAAAAACTGAGAGCTTTCCCCCTGAGATCAGGAACACGACAGTGATGTCCACTCTCACCACTGTTGTTTAACATAGTGCTGGAAGTCCTAGCTTCAGCCAACAGACACCAAAAGGAAATAAAAGGCATCAGAATTGGCAAAGAAGTAGTCAAACTTTAACCTTTTGCAGATGACATGATACTCTACATAGAAAACCTGACAGACTCCACCAGAATCCTACTAGAACTGATCCAAGAATTCAGCAAAGTTGCAGGATACAAAATTAATGTACAGAAATTGGTTGCACTTTTGTACGCCAATAATTAAGGAACAGAAAGAGAAATCAAGAAACTGATCCCATTCACAACTGCACAAAAAAACATAAAATACCTAGGAATAAACCTAGCCAAAGATGTAAAATATCTGTATGATGAAAACTATAGAAAACGTATGAGGGAAATTGAAGAAGACACAAAGAAATGGAAAAACATTTCAGGCTCATGAAAGAATAAATACTGTTAAAATGTCATTACTACCCAAAGTAATCTGCACATTCAATGCAATCCCAATCAAAATGGCACCAGCATTCTTCTCAAAGCTAGAACAATCCTAAAATTTGTATGGAACCACAAAAGACCCCAAATAGCCAATGTAATATTGAAGAAGAAAACCAAAATAGGAGGTATCACAACCCAGACTTTAGCCTCTACTACAAACTAATTATCAAGACAGTATGGTATTGGCACAAAAACAGACACATAGACCAATGGAATAGAATAGAGAACCCAGAATTGGTCCCACAAATGGATGGTCAATTAATGTTTGACAAAGCAGGAAAGAGTATCCAATGGAGAAAAGACAGTCTCTTTAACAGGTGGTGCTGGGAGAACTGGGCAGCAACATGCAAAAGAATGAAATTAGATGATTCTCTCACACCATACACAAACATAAACTCAAAATGGATGAAAGACCTAAATGCAAGACAGGAAGGCATCAAAATCCTAGAGGAGAAAGCAGGAAAAAAATTCTTTGACTTCGGCTGCAGCAACTTCTTACTCAACACATCTCCAGAGGGCAGGGAAACAAAAGCAAAACTGAACTATTGGGACCTCATCAAAATAAAAACCTTCTGCACAGCAAAGGAAACAATCAGCAAAACTAAAAGGCAACTAATGGAATGGGAGAAGATATTTGCAAAAGACATATCAGTTAAAGGATTAGTGTCCAAAATCTATAAAGAACTTAACAATTCAACACCCAAAAAACAACCCAGTGAAGAAATAGGCAAAAGACATGAATAGACACTTCTCTAAAGAAAGACATCCAGATGGCCAACCAACACAAGAAAAGATGCTCAACTTCACTCATCATCAGGGGAATACAAATCAAAACCACAATGGGATACCACCTCACACCTGTCAGAATGGCTAATATTAACAACTCAGGCAACAACAGATGTTGGCAAGGATACGAAGAAAGAGGATCTCTTTTGCACTGCCGGTGGGAATACAAGCTGGTGCAGCCACACGGGAAAACAGTGTGGAGGTTCCTCAAAAAATTAAAAATAACAGAACTACCCTACGACCCAGGAATTGCACTACTAGGTATTTAT